AACGTCCATATTTATAATCCGGAGACCATGGCGGAGGACATCGGGAAGTTTCTACTTGAACATTTTAAGGCTAAACTGTAAGAACTAGGTTTTGAAGAGAAAATTCACTATTTGTTTATCATTGTTCGTCAGTTTTGTAGCCTCGTTTCAACCAAATAACGTCCACTGCTGGACAAAGGCCTTCCCCAAGAATTTTCTAAACGACCGGTCCTGCGCCGCCTGCATCAAGGTACCTCCCGCGACCTTTACCAGATCATCAGTCCATCTATTAGTGAAGGTTCATCCTACCTATTACATTTAGCTATTAAATTATAAATTAATACGAAATGAGCAATTTAAAAAAATCTAATAATAGTTTAATACGAGTGTACTTACCTACTTAAGATTTAAAATAATTTCCAACACTTGTAAATGGATAAATAAATGAATATAACAAAAGAAAGCTTTTTGTTTGTGTGCATTAGGTACAGTCAGCGTCAAATATTTCATGACACCTAAAGTGACCTAGATAACAACCTTCTAATTGTAACAAAGACGTGTTGCGAACTTCTTGGCCGAAAATGTCTTTAAATTGTAATCTGCTTGTTTTGTTATTCTTTAGCATCGATGTATGCATACATTTCTTGTATTATGTATAATGTATATAGCTACCTACTCTGTTGAAATACCTCCTAGGTCACTAAGTCTTAAGCCCATGTGTATGTAATTTATGAGGTCAGGAAAACCATCCATTCCATCAAATTGAAAGCGGTAGGTTTTGATGACATTGGCCGGACCATGATTCTCATGATGCTCCTCGAATTCCTCCTTCCTTTTATAACCCACATCATAAACTTCTCCTTGTCCTCTGGCTCATTTCCTCGCATCTGGTGCAAAGCCTTTGTAACTCCTCTCCCAAAAATACCCAATCCTGCCACCTTAAATAACTTCAGGCCTATTTCCATACTACCTTTCTTGTCAAAAATCCTTGAGGCGGTTGTCCACTCCCAACTGTCAAAATTCATCTTCACAAACAACCTCCTCAGTCCTTTCCAATCTGGTTTCCGGCCCGGCCACAGCACCAGCACCGCATTACTCAAGGTGACGGAAGACATTAGGATGGGAATGGAACTTGGCCAACTAACACTTCTTGTACTCATCGACTTCTCTAATGCCTTCAACACAGTTGACCATGAAGTCCTCCTTTCCATGTTATCCCGCTACAATATGTCACCTGTCGTTATGAATTGGTTCGCTTCCTACCTCTGCGGTCGCCAACAGGCCGTACGTTTAGATAAAATTATTTCCCACTGGCGCGACCTCGTGACTGGTGTTCCGCAGGGTGGTATACTTTCTCCTCTTCTTTTCTCCATTTTTATCAATTCTATTACCTTCGGTATTGGTTCATCTCACCATCTGTATGCCGACGACCTCCAACTGTACCGGCACTGTCGCTTCGATGAAATTGACCAGGCTGTCCAACGCATAAATGATGACCTTGAGCATATCAGGGTATGGTCATATCGTTACGGCGTCGCTGTTAACCCTAACAAATGCCAGGCGATAATTATCGGTAGCCAACGTCAACTGTGCCGTTTAAATCTGGATGGTGTCGCTTCTGTCGCCTATAACGGTGTCGATATACCATACTGTACCAGTGTTAAAAATTTGGGTCTATATCTCGATTCTACTCTAAGCTGGACGACACATGTTTCCGAGGTTAGTCGAAGGGTCACCGCCACGCTGCGCTCTCTTTGGAGATTGAAGTATTTTCTCCCTGTTAAAACCAAGATTTCGCTTGTCCACGCTCTTATTCTTCCGGTCATCGATTATGCTGATGTGTGTTATCCGGACCTTAATCAAGTTCTCCTCAACAAACTGGACCGCCTTCTGAACAATTGCATCCGGTTCATATTTTGTCTTCGCAAATATGACCATGTCTCTTCCCACCGGTCTGAGCTCCATTGGCTACCTGTCCCTGCACGGCGCAATGTTAGAATCCTTACCACCCTTTTTACCATCTTAAATGACCCTAACTCCCCTTCCTATTTGAAAACACAGTTTAAACTTCTGAGTTCGACGCACGCACGTCAACTTCGTTCGTCCAACACGCTCCTTCTCTCCACTCCTTCCCACCGCACTGGTTTCCTCTCTAATTCATTTCTCCTCAATTCCATTCGCCTTTGGAACGCTCTTCCCGAGAACATCAGGCAGGCTCCTAGTAAGTTTGTTTTCAAACACTCTGTGCGCAAACATTTTCTTGAACGCATCATGTCGTCTTGATCTCCCTTATTCTTTCCTTTTCTCCCTTATCCTCTCCTATCCTCCCTTACCTCTCGTCATCCATTTTATATAAATTATATGTATGTACCTATTTATGTATATATTTTGTATAAATATATATTATAATATTTTATGTATTATATTGTGTACATTTTTGTAGCTTTTTAGCACCGCCTACTAAATATCTCTGTTTTGCTCAAGGTCAGCTGGTAGAGAATGACGTATGGCATTAAGCTCGCCTTTTTGTACGGAACGTTGTTGTGTGTGCAATAAAGTCTTTAAATAAATAAAATAAATAATTTCTACCATTACTATTGTCACTTAGTACGCAATAAAGATTTGAATTTGAATTTGAACTTTGGGTGTACCGAACTACGAATATTTGACGCAGACACTGTAGGTACTTACTCGTACGTAAGTATCCAGTAACTCTTCAAGCCTATTACGGAGTTGTGGAATATTTTGTATCCGACAAGCCTAAATACCTAGTAGCTCGAGTTAGTCTCTTTCGGAGGGTTCGACTCCCACATTAGACTCGCATAGTTACAGGATGGCCAGGGAGTTGTATCCAAATCATCCTAAAAGATAAAAAGACTTACTTAATTTCACCATCATCATTTCAGCACCTTAATCAGGTCGCCAGTCCACCTTGTGGGTGGACGTCCCACGCTGCGTTTACTGTTAAGTACGTGGCCTACACTCCAATACCTTGCTGCCCAATCGGCCGTAATTGTGGTGCACTATGTGCGATGCCTCTTCAGCTTGCTAATCCGACGGTCAGTGACTTTAGTTCGTTTACGGACCTCCTTATTTCTTATTCGATCTTGTAAAGAAACACCGAGCATAACCATTTCAATAGCATGCTGTGCAACTGTGAGCTTCTATGAGGCCTATGGTGAAAGGCCACGTTTTGGAGCCCTGTCATCACTGGTAAGACACACTGATTAAAAAAACTTTCGTCTTGAAATGAAATGAAATGAAATGAAAATACTTTTATTAAATAAACACTTTACAATTACAAGATATGTGCCGCTCCCGTATAAAAGGTTAACCTGTGTAACGAGAGTCAGGCTCCTCCTCAAAAAAAACATAAGACTAAAATTTAGTGTTTAGATTAAATTTTATCTTTTAATTTAAAAAATAATTTAAATAGAAAAACAAAACAAAAATATGTGTGTGATAGTGTGAGTGTGATTTTGTGTGTAACTGAATAAGTGTGCTAAGAGAAACTAGTAATTGTCTGGATTAACTTTTCTAAAGTGTCGTACGTATAATTATTGTTCCATCCATTTTATAATAAGTTTTTTAAACGTTACCGAAACAAGTTGTGTGATGTCTTTACTTGTTGCAAGTATTTTGTTGTACAGTCTAGGGGCCATGTGTGAAAAATGCCGTTTCATGAGTGCTGAGTGTGTTATGGGAATAGTGAACCTAGGCACTCTCCTTTTGTCTAATGTAGTATGTGGGACTATTTTGTTGTGGAATCTACATAAGGTTAATAGTATGTATAATTTACGGACTGGGAGAACCCTAGCTTGCTGATACAGATGCTCTGTTGGGAACCGATAAGGAAGACCTAGTGCAACTTTGAGAACGGCTCTTTGAGCTCTTTCCAGCAGAATCATATGAGTCTTCGCCGCGTTACCCCAAACACATAGACAGTAAGTAAGGATGCATTGACAAAGAGCTTTGTAAGTTGAGACAAGAAGATCGTGATCTGCTGCAATACGAACTGTCTGAATGCAAATATGAGTTTGCGCGCCTTAGCGGAGACTACATTTAGATGTTGCTTCCATTGGAGGTTGTCATCGACAGCCTTGTCTTGAGGCATTGAATTTGATCATAAAAAAACAATTTCCTGCCGTATGCATTACATTAAAATTTTCATAAATGTAGCTTTAGACAGTAGAGAGTATAGCAGATATTTATCTATACTAATATTATAAAGCTGAAGAGTATCTTTGTTTGTTTGTTTACTTGTACGCGCTTATCTCTGGAACTACTCTCTCCGGTCCGATTTGAAAAATTCTTTCAGTGTTAGATACCCCATTCATCGAGGAAGGCTTTAAGCTATGCAACATCACGCTACGATCAATAGAAGCAGAGTAATGAAAAATGTTGCGAAAACAGGTTTAGTAAAATTCATTCAAATTTTAATTTAGATATTAGGAAAAAACAAATTTTGCTGAGGTAACGTTTCAAAAACTACCCTGGCAATTTTTTAAAAGTCGTTCTATCCCGGAACCAAATACATAAATAGATAGCTTTATTTGTTTTGAATATACTAGCATAAAGTTCATTTTAGTCAGCGAAGTGCAATACACATGATCCTTCGAGCCGGATTTGAAGATGAACCAGCGACCACTTTTAATATCGATTTCAATAAACACTGTCTGAGTTAGGAATTAGACATGGAATTGACACAGTTATATTATTATACAGACTACATATTATACACATTTTTATTCTTCCATTACAACATAGATAAATAAGGAAGGATAGATTGCTAACGTCATTGATTGTTAAAAGCCTCGTGTAAATGTAAAACTTAATAAGTTGTAGTTCAGTTTAGTAATGTTAGATCATCAGACTCTATCATCAGACCCTGGTTTCCACATAAAACTATTATAGATAAGTCAGAACACTAAAAAAAACACGATAAAATATTTTGTCGATTTTTTTTATTTAAAAAAAAACATACGGGTCGAATTGAGAACCTCCTCCTTTTTTGAAGTCGGTTGAAAACAAGTTACATAGTATTTCCAAATATTAATAAAGACCATTGACGATATCACAAAAACCAGTTTTGGTTTTACCGTGCACCGCTAATTCGACATCATCAGACTCAATCACTCAGAGCATAAAGTTAAATATTTTACTGCGCGCGAGTACCGTTTTTTTATTTGGGCATAAGTAATTTTATTTTTTCCGAGCCTAGTAACGCCATCTAGCGATTCTGTTTCGCAAGGCTTGTGCCAAAATGTATGGATTTTTTAAAGCGATCTAATCTTTCTTATTTATTTTCTTGATTACGATTACAATTTTGCCTTCAAATGTTCCAACAAGAATCTGGCTACATCATCAGCTAAGCACTGGGGGTTATAAACATGGACATCATGATGTCCATCTACAATCTTGAAGCTGTAATTTTTGTTCGGCCAAGAGCCAAGATCCCAAGTAAACTCGCAATTTTCGTAGGCCTTCAAGTCAATTTCTGCTTGGGCGAGGATGGCCAAGGTAGGGGTGGTGGTGGTGGTGTAAATCTTCTTCAGGAGTTCTCCAGAGAAAGGGAGGACGGCCACCTCTTTCATGCGTTGGTCGTATGTGAATCTGTAATTGAATTTAAAGGATGAGATGGAGAAATAAATGAACATTTTCAATCAATCTTTAGGGCCACGCTTTCGATCCACAAAACTTCTATCCACACGTAGGATGATTTTAATATGATGATAAAAAAAGCCTGGAGAACCAAAGTGACTGACATAGCACGCAGAATCGCTAAAATCATGTGGCAGTGGGCGGGACACATAGCTCGCAGAGCTGATGGCCGCTGAGGCAGAAAAGTTCTCGAGTGGCGACCACGGGCTGGAAGACGTAGTGTGGGGAGGACTCCTACTAGGTGGACCGACGATCTGGTGAAGGTCGCGGGAGGTTCCTGGATGCAAGCGGCGCAGAACCGGTCTTTGTGGAAAACCTTAGGGCAGGCCTTTGTCCAGGTAATTTAAAATGAAATCCTGAATCCTGAATATGTTTCGATAAATAATAATCACCTGTACAGTCCATCTCCGACCGGCTCCAAACATCTCTCCAGGACTTGCTCCGAAGCTTCCTTCGTCATTTTCCGCGATTTCATCATCAGCTCTTGGGCCTGCAATGGAAAAAGGAATATGAACTTCATCATCATCAAGGGGAATAATCCTACATCTAGTTCCCAAGGATGCAATTCCTGTGTAGCCAGGATCTACAACTTGACTGCCAACAAAAACCCAGTTACATGTAAATGCCAAGTCAAGTTATACCGGGGGAAAGATATAGGACCCGCAAAGAAATTAATCAGAAGAACATAGGAGAGAAAGCCATGGATGCTTCCCTGATGGCAGGTAAGTACACTAAAATCGATATCAGATATCAAACTTCTCCTATTGTCATCAAAGCATACCTTTTCGTAAGTATATTTAGGCGCCGTCTCCGGAAGACCATGGATCTTCTTATACTTGGTCTCCTCATAGGACCCATAGTAGTTGTGGTACCAGGCGCCCATAGCTTCCCTGATGGTGTCCCATGAAACTATACTTCTCCTACCTTCAAAAACCGTACCTTTTCATAACTATATTTAGGGGCCGTCTCCGGAAGACCATGGATTTTCTTATACTTGGTCTCGTCATAGGACCCGTAGTAGTTGTGGTACCAGTCGCCCATAGCTTCCCTAATGGTGTCCCACTAAACTATAAGACTTCTATCTTCAAAGAACCGTACCTTTTCGTAAGTATACTTGGGCGCAGTCTCCGGAAGACCATGGATTTTCTTATACTTGGTCTCGTCATAGGACCCGTAGTAGTTGTGGTAGCAGGCGCGCATCGCTTCTCTGGTGGTGTCCCACGTGTGGTGCAGAGAAGTTTTCTTAGAAGACTCGGTTTATTGGGCCGATACACTCAGAAAATCTGACATATGACTATCTTCTACCTTCATTATTATACCGTACCTTTTCGTAAGTATATTTAGGCGCAGTCTCCGGAAGACCATGGATTTTCTTATACTTGGTCTCCTCATAGGACCCATAGAAGGTGTGGTACCAGGCTCGCATAGCTTCTCTGGTGGTGTCCCACGAGTGGTGCGCGGGCACTGGGTCTAACTCCACCACGCGAGTGATCACGTTGGGATGCACTATGTTGTAGATTTTGCCTGGAATGTAATTTACAGATGTTCAAACTTATGTTCGCGATCACTGACTGACTCACTCATCACGAAATCTCAGAAACTACAAGTGCCAGGAGTCTCAAATTTTGCATGGGGGTTCCTTTTAGAACATAGGCTCACTAAGACCGGATTTTGCAAAATTCAACTCATAAAGGGGTAAAATCCACGCGTATGAAGTCGCGGGCGGCTGCTAGTTACTTATAAATAAGATTTAATATAGACAAGACAGGCTTGTTTAATTAAATCACTAAACAAATTACATTTATAGAAATGCTGTGCTGCATGACCTGGTGCTATATTATGCCCTTACAAGTCACCCACCCTGTAAACTTTTTGTATAAATAAGTCTAAAGATAAAATTAAATATTACCAATAAGAGCGCCCAGCGAATGCCCCATGTAAATAAACTTATCCCAGCCGAACTTCTTCTTAACAACTTCAACAGTGGGCACCAGGTCGAACACTGTGTACCTCACCCCTCGGGGCAGGTGGTCGGAGCGGCCGTTGCCTGAAATAAGCCATTTTAAAAGACCTATCCAACGATACCCCACACGATGGGGTAGAATATGAAAAAAAAATCATCTCAACTTTACATGTAGTACGGGAGCTACGCTGAAAAAAGAAAGACAGTAAACATAGAACAACAGTTACTTCCGTGCCAAAGTGAATTCTAAGGCTGGGTTGCACCATCTTACTTTAACTTTGACAAACGTCAAAAATCTGTCAAACTTCATTCTAAAAACGCCGGTTATTGTTATACATAGTTGTCGCCAAAATAAAAGAAGAAGAAGAAGTATTGTTATAGTTACGGTCAAAGTTAGGTGGTGCAACTCAGCCTAACTCTTCAATAATACGTAAAAAAATGCCGTGTACCTACCTGGTAAATCCACGGCGACATAATAGAAAGACGGCGGGAGCAGCTTGACGAGCGGTCGGAAACCGGTACACACGTCCAGTTTGCCGTGCACCACTAGTACCGGAGGCTGGGATGGACTGCCCCATGTTACACCTGGAATTAGATAGAAAGAAAGAAAGAAGAAATGTTTATTCAGTATCATCGACAATACACTTAACTTACAACAATGCCTACTTAAAAAACATTTAACGAGTAGGTAATTACAATAATACTGAAAAGGTATGTCCACTCAGCATGGAATCATAGCATCTCAGTAGATTAAGCTGGTCTTCCGTGGACGCAATTATAAAGATAATATGTAGATTTACATTTGGGCTTGATCAATATTGCATAATTTGCATAACTTGATTTTTAACTAGTTTAAATTGTGATTAATTACTTAGTAGATCCTCCTCTCTTCTAATTGCAGTGCCCGACAGGGTCCATAATGATCTTGACATGGGGATAGCCAGGTGGATTCGTGGAGAAATGTTCCTTTAATCCCACCTGGGTGGGAAGAGTGTATTTGGGAAAAGGGAAGAGGCGAGATGGCCAGGTGAGATAGGTGGAATAGGGAATTTCTGACTCGATCACGCAGGAAAACTTCAGAATAATTCACAAATATTATTTTTTAAGTCACTTACTTACTAAAAGTTACGCGCAATATTTTACTTCGCGCCGTTAACAAAAACAAATTAATGAACTCACCTCTTATTTTTCCCCAAGGCGCTTCGACACAAAATTCTTTTTCTTCACTCATTTTCGTCGAAAAATACTTTTTCGAACAGAAACGTCTACATTGGCTGTTTGACACTAATTCCTTTACGATAATGCAATTAAAAACGCTCAATATTCTCATTAATTCGAAGAAAATTAATGATTACACGTTTGATACTACACTGTCGGTATAAAACTAGATAATGATAGCATGACGCGATGATTTAGTCATAAAGATAAACGATTTCGTATTCGAATACGCCGGCGCATCTCGGTATCTTTTTAACATTTGGGAGAATAATAGTAATTACATACAACAACCCAATCGTGGTAGCTAGCAAACTCTCCTCGCGATATGGATATCAGAGCCCCGATTAGCCCTAGTACCAGCACGATGTGACATCACGACCGCCAGGTGCGCAGTTAACCGATCACAGATCACAGAGATAACTAATCCACAGGACAGGCAATGCAGGTGGAAGTCAATTTTTTATTTTGTACTCTTGAATTTCTGGCATTAAATTATTTTTAATTTTCAAATAACATAAAGCAATTTCTAGTATTGATTCCTTATCGATAATTCAATTGCAATGTGAATTTGTCTTATCATAGTTTTACGATTCTATACGAGTTTTCGCTAATTGACATCACTAGTTACACTTTTTGACAGTGACAATTTATTGACAATATTGACATGTATTTGTTTTGATTGCTCATGATTGGTCGACGATTTCACTAAATTTGGGCAAAAAATTAGTTTTGAATTAAAATGTATAAGATAAAAGCAACAAATGAATGGTTTATTGATGCGCCATGGGGTAAAATAGCTTGTGAGTACTTTACACAAACCTTTAGGCACTAAAAAAACTTCATGGTAACTTTGTTATATTTAAAGTTGAAGTGGACAAACATTGTTAGTCATTAAACATTGTTGTTAGTTAGTTAAGGCGGAACTTGTTGAATGTACTTTGGACTTCAAATGGTATGGATATAAAAGTAGCGCACTAAATTATAGTATAAATGTTTAAACAGATTTTTGTAGGTTTTAGAAAGAAACTTAAATACCTACTCGAAAATGTCCTATTCCTATTTCCAACAAACTTTTTCAGCTATGTTAATTTCGCCTCCTATGCTATATCTTTGGGTCCTATCTCATTATTACACTATGGTGAAGCCTCTGGTCGCCCCACCGTGAAGTCTTGAGCTACCAAAGTGCTTGAGTGCCCGAAAAAGGCCTACATACTAATAAAGAGTTTTCACTATTTCAGTGATATCATGGGGCGATCCCTCTGGCACTCCGGTTCTCCTGGTCCACGGACGTCAAGACAGCGCTGCCACCTTCATCCCTCTGCTAGAACATCTGCCGGACTCATACTATTACGTTGGCGTGGACCTACCAGGGCATGGGCAGTCAGATCCACTTCCTATAGGTTAGTTAGTTAGTTGCAGAGCAATCAAATGCCGCACTTAGCCTCATGTTTGGGTCGTAGTTCTGCTACACTTTTGCACTCCATGACCACATGCTGTGGTGTTTCTTCTACCTCCATACATCCTCAGCACAGAGGGCTGTCTGACTGCCTATAGGTAAAGACAGGCCCTTCTTTCCCACTGGGCACTCAGGGCCAACTCGGATGGGCAGCGTTCGGGAAGCTTCGCCATATACTCATGTCCGAAATACCGCAGTGTCTCAAGACAAAAGTATTCGAGCAGTGTGTGTTGCCAGTGTTGATATATGGATCCGAAACGTGGTCGCTTACTATTAGAGGTGGGCGCCGATATAAAAATGGCCGGCGGCGGCGCGCCGACTTTTTGACCTCGGCGGCGGCGGCGTCGGCGGCGTGACCTTGTTTGACCTTTGTTCAAGGTCACCCAAAGGGCGATTGAGGGGTCTATGCTCGGAGTTTCCCTGCGTGATCGTATCAGAAATGAGGAGATTCGTAGGAGAACCAAAGTAACCGACATAGCTAGCAGATTTGCTAAAATCAAGTAGCAGTGGGCGGGGCACATAGCTCGTAGAGACGATGTCCGTTGGGGTCTGAAAATCTCGAGTGGCGACCACGGGCTGGAGACGTAGCGTGGGCAGGCCTCCTACTAGGTGGACCGACGATCTGGTAAAGGTCGCGGGAAGAGCCTGGATGCGGGCAGCGCAGGACCGTTCATTGTGGAAAACCTTGGGGGAGGCCTTTGTCCAGCAGTGGACGTCATTTGGCTGAAACAACAACTCAGGGCACGCAAGGAGGCCCCTGTCTGTTCTTATAACAGATCTTTCTCCAGATGAGAAGGGCCTAGCTTAATCCTTATGTGCCCAGGGTAAAGATTAATAAGTTCAGGTACGGATTTCAGAGTCAGCCGTTTGGTGTAGTGGTTCAGAACGTGCTACTATGCCAAGAGGTCCCGGGTTCGATTCCCGGCCAGGCAGAAATTGAAATGATGAATTTTAATTTCTGTGAGGGGTCTGGGTGTTACTATGTTTAATATGTATGTATTTAAATTTTAAAAAAAAGTATAAGTAGTATATCCGTTAAGCTAGCACCCATAACACAAGCATTAAGTTGCTTACTTTGGGGCTAGCTGGCGCTGTGTGAAATTGTGTAAAGATTATTTACTGTAGCCACAATGGACATGCCCACAATTTTACACTAGTGTTGTTACACTTACAAATAAAAATTTCTATGTTTAATCTAAAATTATTAAAAAGTGTAGGTACATTTTATACTTAGCACAGTATTGTATAAATAAATAAATTATTGGGGAATGGTGTCAAATAAGTAATAGTATTATTAACAAACAACAAACAATTTTATTTCAGGTCCAATGTTAACAAGGCTCCACTTTCTTGTTGCGGTTGAGTACGCGTTGAGACATCTCAACTGGGACCAGTTTGTGTTTATTGGACACTCCATGGGTTGCGAACAGGGTGAGTTCCGTATCATCATCATTTCACACTTACCACGGTGAAACGCAACTGCAACGAAACTGCAACTAACTGATGATTATTATAAATGAAACTGAAAGTTTCAAACTGGTTACGCCATGTGTGGTCTTTCAACGGAAAGAAACTTAGATGCAACTCAAAAGTAACTAGCAGTTGCAGTTGAGTTTCACTGTCTGTTCTGGGTCTTAGGGGTTGAATTTTGCAAAATCCCGTCTTAGTGATCACCTACGTTCTAAAAGGAACAGTTATAATTTATTTATTTATACTTTTGCAAATAAAACTGTACAGTGGCGGACTTCATGCCATGTGGCATTCTCTGCCAGTCAATCAGAGAGACTGAGACGGTGCAAAAAATATGTCAGTTTAGATAATAATTATACTTACATAGGATTAGATAAAATAAATAACATATAATCAAGAAGATGCTGCAATAAAATCCTTTACTTAATTCCAGGTTTATTCTGCAACAGAATATATCCCGGAAAGATCACAAAATTCATCTTTCTTGATCCGTTGCCGTCTCTGCAAAGACTTCAAATTCACAACTATGAGGAGTACTACAGATCTTTTTATAAGGAATACTATAGTAAATACAAAAGATACAACCATGATGACCGAGTGTACAGTAAGAGGAAGGTTCTGGAAGCAGTGATGAGGAATAGAGGGTTAAATGAAAATCAAGCGGAGTTGGTTCTGTCCAGAAATCTTCATTGTATCGGAGAAGATTTGTATAAGTAAGTATTTTATGGTTTTATTAAGTTGGTTTCATTTTATTTAAGAAGTAGCTTTGCCCGCGACTTTGTCCGCGTGGAATAATAACTTTGGGTCAGGCATTTTTAATAATTTAGTCTAATTATTTTACAAATAGCTTTTGCCCGCGACTTCGTCCGCGTAGAAGTCGAAAACGTTCTCATAGGATTTTTAAATGGTTTTTAACGTTATTATCGAAACGTATGAATACTTATAAAATATACAAATCTTATTATTTACTTTTTAATGTTATTATTTACTTTCAGATTGGCCTGGGACAAGCGGTTAAAATTTCCAGCACCCCAAAATTACCCTGTCGATTATTACATAGACCTTTTTTCAAAATTCCTTCCCCCCACCCTCATAATTTCAGCTTCAAACAGCCTGCACCTAGATCTTAGGGAACGGAATGAAAAAGCATTGCTTATAGTTAGGGAATTACAAAAAAATACGGATTATTTCTTCGTAGAAACAGTGACTGGAGGCCATGACGTTCATTTGACTGATTCTGAGTCGGTGGCTAGATGTGTTTTAGGTTTTTTGAGTAAAACAATGAAGAAGGCTAAACTTTGATTGACTATAAATACATATTTGTAAAAAAATATTACTATTTATGTTATCTTCTTTCAAAAATGTAATGATTCAAAAAAAAAATTGTGTCCGTTTAAATGAAAATTAAATAATAATTTTGTAGCATCCTAGTTCCTACGAATTTGATTAAATACTCTTTAAAATGTTATTTTATAGGCATTTTAAATTGTTACTCTCTGAAATTATAATGACAATGTACTTACCTGCTTAATGAATTGTAAAGACTGATTTAAAAATAAGTGAATAACATAAAAATATCTTACCTACTAACTACTGACTGACCTATCTGATATCATATTATTGTACTATACTTTAGGTGTATAAAGATTTTAAAGGTTTACGATTTTTATATTATTTAGAATTCAAAATTTTGAAAAAAATTAAAAATATTTATTTTATGGTGATTGTGATATTTTATTTTAATTGGCATATTGAATGTTATCAAAATGTTATGTATACTGAAATAAATTCTATTTACAATTTATGTTTCATTTTAAATAACTTTATGTAAAAAATATTGTTTTTAAATCTTCATAAACTACTTTTCTGTAGAAATGCGTCAAAAATCTATGAAAATTTAGTTCTTGAAAGTATCCGCTAGAGACGCTGTACAATTTGTTATACCTACTACCCATTCGCGCTAAGTTTGCCGGTCCGTGGAATGCGCGTCCCCTCCCCAACCGCGATTAAACGCAATTAGTTAGTGATAAACGCAATTAATGTGTCTTATTTTACGCAAACACACAATTTTTATCAATAATAAATAAAAAATGTTTTAAATATAGTTTGTTAAAGTTATATTATACGCATTTCCCTTCGAGTGACGTCACATCGCCAGCGGAAAACTTAAAGCGAACGGATAGTAGTTACTTACATTTCATGTAATTTTTTATACGCAGTCGCTAGCGATGACGTATGATGTAAGTAAAATCATAATAAGCACACAAGAAAATTGCCATTGTCACTGGTAGGCAACTAAGGCGGGGTATAGTTCCAAAATACTGGACTGTCCTGTCGATGACATTGACAGTGGGGCGCCACCGTCAATACCGGATCGCTGGTTCAGATTTTTGCCATGTTGGAAACCATATAGTTGAACGATGGTAGCGCCCCCCTGTCATTGAGTTTGGTGGGACAGTTCAGCGTGGGTCATCTATAAGGTGTTTTTGTATGGAGTTTGACAGATTTTTGACATTTGTTAAAGTAAGATGGTGCAACGCCTTACAGTTTGGCCTTCTTATTGACCAACAGATCTTTTTTCAAAAAGTCCGCAATAAATGGCGCCAAAAGTTCCGGATTTGTGACATGAACGTCGTGGTGACCTTCTATGGTATGGTAAAAATTACGTTCTCTCTTTAGAACATGGCTTAACTGCTCTATAAATTCCTTCTCATGGGTTTGAAACCTTTGTCTGGAGGCCACAATGCTCAGTATGGGCGGTTGCTTTGATAATACGTCGATTAGCATGTTCAACCGTAACGGCAGACCGCCTAGTTTCTTCATTATAGGCTGCGTTGTGAACCTGGAAGTTTAATTTTTACTTCGTTAAATGAAGGCAGGCTTTCCCCCTCGGTGAATCGACGACCTAGTGAAGGTCGCGGATAGCGCAGGACTGATAGTTGTGGAAATTGGGGGATAAATTTTCTAGCAGTGAAACAAAAATGCGTTAGGCCGAGTTAGTTGTGATCAAATCTCATTTGTCAAATAAAATGGTGGCTTCACATATTATAGGCCCCAATGTTGATCTCAACGCCATATACCTACCAATGTGAAAATAGTATTGGCACCAAAGTTGGACCACAGTTGGACCAACACTGAACCGTCCCAGCATACAAGTTACTCTATGGTCCCAGCTATGGACATTGTAAGGAGGGCGCTACTATCAATACTGAGTTATTAGATCCGATGTTTGCCACTTCTTTCAGGATCGTTTTCACAATATTTTTTTTACCTAACGGCACTATTCCCACCTCTCGTTCCCACCACTGCAACTCTTGTGTTGCCAGAATCTACAGCTTGCCGCCATAACCCAACCAGTGAAAGCCAAGTTTGTCCCGGGGAAAGTTAAACTGTCATTGGACCCGCAACGAAATTAAATCAGTAGAACATAGGAGGAGTTCGAAGTTAAGGTTCGAATTCCGTTCAGTGCAAAGCGGATAATGTTTTTTTTACCTGTAAAGACCTCCTGTAAGTGGCTCTAAAGACCTGGAGAGAACGATTTCAGCCTGCCTTCTGGTCAACTGTCGGTTCTTCATAATGACTGAAACAGCTTTGTCATATGGATACAAACTGCGTGGATTTTTATTGCTGAAAGAAAGATTTATGGTCATTTACCTACAAAAACTCTGCAGTCTTTTGCCGGCTTTCCCCGTATTTTTATAAATTATTTTATTCTAAATTATTACTTTCTTCTATTAATATTTAAAGTTAGGTAGTTTTACTTTAAATGTACAAGGTACCTACATACAGTAGTAGTTAAAAGCGAAAAAAGGTCTTTTGAAATACAACTGTCACGTTTTGCTAAAGCTCATAGCAGACTTATCAACTCGGAAAGGGATCAACACCACGGTATCGTCTTTCGCGAGCTGTCATCGCTTTTCGCGCGCTGCGAGAAGTTTACGTTACGGTGCGGATAAGTGTTCGTTGCAGAATGGAGTTTCATACAAATAATACTATTATATTTCTGGATTGATTGGTATGCTACGTCCTTAATTATCTAGGGGGACAGAAAGTTTTACTTACGTAATAACCTGGTCGTAATAATTATAGTAAGAACGCCGATAATGCTCTTGTATGTTGTGCGTTACATTGTAATAGACGGCCAGAGCCAGAAGAGGATCCAAAAGCACTATTCTAGTTATTTTACCAGGGTACAGGCGATTGTAGAGGACACCTGAAAAGAACTTTTTTTTTTACATCCATATTATGCTCTTCTGATTAATTTCGTTGCGGGTCCAAAGACAGTTTAACTTTCCCCCGGGACAGACTTAAGCTCGACCTTCACTGGTTGGGTTTTTAATGGCGGTTAAGCTGTAGATCCTGGCTATACAGGAGTTGCGGCAGCGGTGGGAATAGTTGGAGCGAATTGAATTACTTACATGCAAAAATTCCAGAACGGAATGTTTGTAAATTTGCCAATAGTTAATTACTATCCGTTCGCGCTAAGTAGACACTAAGTTTGCCGCTGGCGTTAAAAGACGTCATTCGAAGGGGAGCGTAAATAACAAATTACTACTTAAAATATTTTTTATTTATTATTATTGATAAAAAATGTTTTTTGGGTAAAATAAGACACATTAATTGCGTTTAATCGCGGTTGGGGGACGGGACGCGCATTCCACGGACCGGCAAACTTAGCGCGAACGGGTTGTTTAATACTTTACTGGTTATGCCAATGACAGTACGTACCAGCCATGCCTCCTATGGAATGCCCCATAAACAGGAAGGAGTCCCATGCCATATAATTGACCACGGCTCTCACAGATTCTATGGTAATAGTCTGAGTCGGTGATGGGCCCATGGGAAGGTGACACGACTTGCCATGCCCTGGAAACAACAAAATTAACAGCATTGTTGTTATAGCAACAGACTTAAGGACGTAGCACACTTATCAACCCTGAAAGGGATCGTAACCATATCAACTCGAGGCGGTCAGTATTTTTTGTATGAAACTCCATACTGCAACGCACCCGTAACGTAAACGCCACGCCTAGCGCCTCGCCTCGCGGTTACAGCACGCGAAAGACGATACGGTGTTGATCCCTTTTCGAGTTGATAATTATTAAGTCTTTTAGACTGAGTTTATTTTTTATTTATATTTTATTAGTTTTAACAATGTTTCAACGTGGTTTCAACAGCATTTAATTGTACATACATGTGCAGGAAGATTTCAGAACTTGAACATACTCGTAAGACAATTACAGAAACACATTCTACTAAGTACTAAAACATTTTTAAATAGTTAAACAACTTACTTTATTTTATTTTTATTAGTCACGGTTCTCACTTTTATCTTCTGAAATTGAGTAATAGCGTCCTCTGAAATTTGCCCCCCCTAGGCCGCGGCCTATACGCTTATTGACAAATCAAGAACTGGATTAAGGGGGGGCCGTTATCATCTGGAGAAAGGTCTTTTTAGTATGCTCGAGCAGACGGCGGATCTCGGTCGCGGGGCCCTTCGCACGTGCCCAAAGTGCCCAGTGGGAAAGGGGCCTGACTAGACCAAAAAGTAAATAGATTCTGACCTGGAACATCAAAGGCGACGTAATAATAACTGTCAGGCAGTTCTTCCATCAGAGGAATGAATGTGGCTGCGGTGTCCATGTACCCGTGGACCATCAGCACCGGAGGATGGTTGGGGTCTCCCCAGGATACCACTGGAACCAAACAGGGACGTAGTCAGGTACATTTATCTATCTATCTATAATCTATCTATAGCAGCCTTTAGGGCAGTGGTTCTTAACCGGTGGTCCGCGGACCACTGGTGGTCCCTGGAGGCATTCCAAGTGGTCCACGAAGACATCGCAATAAACAAGTGACGTGACGTGATGAGTCGAGTCAACACAACGCAAACGGCGCACAATGGGCGATAAATCGACCTCCCCTTTCATATTTTTTGGATTTTGAATAAAAATAAGTAGCCCCTGACAAGACAGAAATTTGGTAAAATGGTTCCTCGTGACTTAAAGGTTAAGAACGACTGCTTTAGGGGATTCGCCTTCGAACATAGGCCTCCTCTTCTACCCTCCACCGACTTCTGTCCCTGGCCAAACGCATCCAGTTCACTCCAGAAAGACCCTGGAGTGGAGACCCTGCAACAACACCCGCGGCAGGGGAAGACCGCCATAACGGTGGACAGACGACATCCGGCAGCTGGCTGGAGGTACATTTATAGCCAGCTCTATTATAAGAAGGGCAAGTAGCAAAAAACAGGTGAAAGCTCGCCGAGGCGAGGGTTTTTTACAAACTTGTAGAGAAAAAGGGTTTTGATAGACGGGCTACACATTGATCATAGGTTGTCTGGTAGAGATCGTGTTATAGCGATATCTAAATTTGTACTATCTCTAAGTATGTATTTCTTTTTTTGTTCTTGTTCTGTGTGTGTGCTTACTCTATTTACCTATCATAATGATCAGTTTAAAAAACTATAAGTAGTCCGGAAAAGTCTTACTTAATTTTTCCTATGTTTTTTGAAGTTGTTTTTACGTTCCATTGTCATCGCTATCGCACACGCAGGATGACCGCGTTGGCACGGACTACGTTGGTTTGGAACTTGTACTTAGAAAATAATAATGATACTTACTTAGATTAAGGAACTCACCTGCCAATTTTCCAAAAACTGTATCCACGAACCATTCTTTCACTTCTTTTCCGGACATTTTGGAAATTATTTCCTTTTAGAATCACGTGTAAAATTAAATACTATTAAAATACCATTATTATACAAAAATATTGGCAATACTTGGTTGACTGTCACAAAAGAACACCCACAATGAACAGCATTCGCTAGAATCGTGATGACAAAGACTTTACGGTTTACGATAATTACATATTTAGTTATGCACTCAAGTAGGTAGGTATTTTTAGTATGAAGTACACAGAGTATCACATAGAACTAGAAAATAATCAGCTAATGAAGAAAAAACAAATCATTTAGTTAAAAACGTTAATTAAATAATAATATCTAAGTAGTTATGTTTCGAATCAACAAAACTTACTTACTACAAGATGGTTGCATTTATGGAACTCAAAACATTCTTCGTAATAACATTGTTATGATAATTTGTATACTCGACCAACAGTTAAATATTTCACGGTCACAGACGATATTATAACTACTTAAACATGTAAATTGTTAAGAGAGTAGAATAGTGACAGACTTGCGTCTACCTCAGACTGATATCACCAGACATCAGGAAATCAAGTAGGTTCAAGAAATACGATATTTATAAGTCAATTTTATGCAGCTGAGTTAGATAACTCATCTGTATAAACTTGTCAGTTAGATAAACTTTACTGTGTTACGTAGTTAGATAAGATTATATACCTACCTAACTCAATAAAGACTGACAAAATTAACTAATGCATTCAACACTAGGGTATGTAATTACCTACCTACCCTATGTATTACTTTTCTCTATGTACCTACCTAAGGTAGGTACATACTCGTATTAAGAATTCTGAACTTGAACCTTGTCCAATTCATTTTATTCAATATAAATACCTACTTAATTTTAAAAAGCTGAAGAGTTTGTTTGTTTGGTAGCATTTGGTTGAATAGGTAGTTACGCTAATCTCAGGTGCAACTGGATATTGGCACATTTCTAAGGGTAGTTCGTCTCTTACGACATCGGGAAGGAATAATAAAATGAAACCATCGTTTGATAATTTTTTAGTTTTATTTTGGAAAAAACGAGGTGTTTTAGTTATCTAATCTTGAAAGTAACAATCATCTCACACACTACACGTGGAGGCTTTATTATTAAAAATTTGTACTTAGATCTAAGACTTAGATTTGTTTATTTAGAACCCCTGTCTTCCCCTTGTCACAAACGTCACACTTCATAGATTTCCTCCGCCCCCTTTACGTGTGACGTAAAATGTATGAAAACTTTTTTCTTGCGGTTTCGTAGCGGCTCCAATGACAGTTATTTTCTCCAGGTCAAACTTGGCCTTCATTGATTGGGTTTTGTTGGCGATCCAGCTGTAGATCCTGGCTACACAGAAGTTGCAGCGGTGAGAACGAAAAGGAAAGAATTCTCTATTTTAATGCCATCAGCGTCCTTTGACTTTGTATTGAGATTTTATGTCCTAGTCAACTCTAGTTCCTTTTAAAAAGTCTCTAACATAATCTATTACAACCGCTGGCTTGTTCAAATGAACGTCATGAACTTCTTCAACTGTCAAATGTCTATGGTTTTTATTGGGCCACTCTGTATTGTCTATGATGTACGGAGAGAAGTTAAAGTGTCCATCAGAAATCGATTGGCTAGTTGTGATAGAAAGTAAAGGGGTTTTGGAAGATGTCCAAATCTGCTCGTATTGTTCTTTTGTGAAGGGCAGCATCATGATGTCCCGGAAGCGTTGGTCGAAGGACAGTCTGGAAAAGTAGTAGTAGTTTTTTTTAAATGTGCTTTTAATAAATGTGCTTTAAATTTAGGATTGGGCTAGGTACAACAGTTTGATATTCCCATTAATGTATTTTCCCATGAATTACTTAGTAATCTTAAATACAGTCAATCGCAAATAACAGTTATGTAGGTATTTAGGGTGTTTTTATTTAACCACGCATTTATACCCTCACCCCGTGCGTGCTTAAGTATTTCACGCATTACATTAAAATATTTGTATGAAAATTACAAAAATTACACTGCGGGTGTCAACGGTGGTAAGACATGAAGTTTGTATATTTCTTCCTTTTCAACCGACTTCAAAAAAGGAGGAGGTTCTCAATTCGACCCGTATGTTTTTTTTTCTATGTTAGTTACGCGATAACTCCGCCAATTATGAACCGATTTGAACAAATCTTTTTTCGGCGTATAGGTATACCTCAAGGGTGGTCCCATTTAAATTTAATAATAGAAAAAACAACCCCCAAGGGTGGCAAATTGGCGATGAACTTTTTTATACGCAATATCTCCGCCGATTATAAATCAATTTGAACGATTATTTTTTTGTTGAATAGGTATTATCAAAAGGGTGGTTTCATGCGAATTTCCAATGTGCCGATAAAAGTATCCTTAACATGTATTTTTGAGCTCTTTGGAGGCACATAGTTAATGTTGGATTAGCTGACTGTCGGTGGAATATTATATTCAGTTCTGTTTTATTTATATTTATGGTCTTTCCATGTCATCCTACGGTCCAGGATTTTAATGCAGGTTGATAGCAGCAATGTGTCGAGGTCTAGATTGGCCGGAGGATAAGTTTCACGTCTTAAATGACAATAATATGGTGAGACTTCGGGGCTTAATTACATGCGCCACTTGGTCAGCCAAGCAGCTGACATTGCAAAAGTCTAGTCACTTTAAGATCACAGCAGTTACATTTGAGGAATGCCGCAGCTTTCTGGTGTCTGGGCTACTTTACTAGTAGATGTTATAGAGTATCGGACCAAATACAGAGTCCTGGGGTACTCCAGCTCTGCAGCTAAAAAGAGAAGATTTTGACACCGAGTTTGATTTAAAACTGTCTGTCACTGAGATAAGAATCCATCAGCAGGTAGTAGAAGTGTGCTAGAAGGTACTTTTGAATTTCAAAGAATAGTCCTTTATGATAAACCCAGCTGAAGCAGCAGCGAAAGCAGACGTACAGGATTCTTTCTTTTTCAAACATTGTACTGATTATGGTTGGTATGGTTTCTGCCAAAATTTATGGTCGGGTATACTATATTACATTTGTCATACTTAGGCAAGGGAATAAACGAGCAAGAATGATAATTTTAACAATACAAATGTCAGATTAATTGAGCGATAAGAGAATTCGTTAGGCGACTTGCCAGCCTTATGGATAATTTCCAAAGTTAAGAGACTTGCGAGGTTCTTCTCACTCAGTGTGGTCATTGTCAAGACCATGGACTTCATGGTGATCAGATTAAATGCAAGTGCTTTACGAGGGTCCATTTTGGCTATTTCTTTAGCTTAGCCATCTCTCTTAGCGTCAGTTCTTTCGTTTCAGCCGAAACACGTCCTGTGCCGCTCGCATCCAGGCACTTCCTGTGACCTTCCCCAAATCGTCGGTTCACCTAATGGGAGGCCTGCCCACGCTACGTCTTCCGGCTCGTGGTTGCCACTCAAAAACTTTACTGCCCCAGAGGCCATCAGCTCTACGAGATATGTGGCCCGCCCACTGCCACTTGATCTAGCGATTCTGTGGGCTATGTCAGTCACTTTGTCCTCCTGCGTCTTTCATCCTCAATTAGCGTAGTAGGAATCAATCTTCTACTTTGAACTTGGGGAGGGTAAGCGGAAACATGGCGGTCAACTCCTTAGATAGTCAAGTTCTAAGATATCTAGAAGCAGCATACGAAAAGATGCAAAATGAGCCCTCTCAAATCACAATGGGAAGGTTTGGCAGCACAGCACCTAGAATGGCGGGAGATTGTGTTGTGTAGAGCCGAGTCCGCGAATTCAACGAGCAACGCACAACTGAACTCGGCGCAAAACGCGATGATGTAAATCCCGTCCATCTGCCGCCATTCACTACAATTATGTTGACGGCGGGTAATTACTCTCAATGTGCGAGGAGTTTGCCGCGAAGATCGGCTATGTAAGCCATCTTCGGGCGCACCAGCGCCGCTAAGACAGCTAAGTCGAAGTGGTCACCATGACTGAAATCGGTCGGATGAATCAGCATCATCAGTAGGAATCAAAGGCAGGCATAGCTGCAAGTCTCGTATCTTATTAATTTTTTTGATTGAATTGTGGATTTTTTGGATTATCCGTGTCAATGGGTTTAAATAAACCGGCGTGTCATGTAGCAAAGGTCTGAGATTTTTCTTGTCAGTTCGCACTCATGTATTACCGGACCTAATAAGCAGAGAACACTTTGAGGGAGGTACTTTGTTGCCTTCCAGAGGTTGTGGTACCCATTTGCATTCCGAGACATATTTGCCAATCTCTGTGTGAGTGATTCACTTAAAGTATATTCCAATAGTGTGGGTTATCTGCCAAAGGAGGCGGGGATTTTTACCTTGACAGCAAGAGGGACCGGCGCCTCTTGCCATCAATTATTTACTAGACCAAGCAGTAACTTGAATAATGTACTTGATTAACTGTTAATATAGTTAGTATTAAGGTATTCAATCAATTATTAGTATATCAATGGCATTAAGTTCGCCTTGTGTACAATTTATATGGCATTAAAGAATACATATTATAGTTAGTTCTTCTGTTATATGGTTTACTGATGGGTCAAAAATGGGCCCTAACATAGGCTTTGGCGTGTATGGAGAGCAGCCGAAGCTTAGGCTTTCTCAAAGCCTGGGTAAATTTGCCTCTATCTTTCAGAAGTCTACGCCATTATTGAATGTGCGGAAGCTAACCTGCGAAAAAAATATGCCAACCACATATTTACATTAACTCAGACAGTCAGGCCGCGCTGATGGCCTTAAACTTGATCACCTCAAAGTTGGTAGAAAACTGCATGAGTCGACTGAATACCCTAGGAAAACGTAATGTCAGAGTAACGCTGAGATGGGTTCCAGGTCACGCGGGAATCGTGGAAAATGAAAATGCCGACGAACTGGCCAGAGCGGGAGCAGAGGGAACACAATATGGTCCAGAACCCTTTTGTGGCATTCTCAAAAGTCTCGCTCGAATGACCCTGGAGAACATCTATTTAAACAAATCCTTTTAGGCATGGTCAGACACGCTAGGATTAACTCATTCCAAAGCTCTTATATAGGCTTTTGCCTATGACCGAAAATGCTCTAAGCAGATCATAGGACTAAGTAGGATCAAAATGCGCATCTCAGTTCGAGCCTTCACTGGACACAGCAGCTTAAACAAGCGCTTGTCCACTATGGGACTGTCCGAATCAAGAACATGCAGGATGTGCCAAGAGGCAGATGAAACGCCACTACACATTCTCACGGACTGCGGACCTTTGATGCGCAAGCGGAGCTTAGGTACACCTGGGCAAACACATCCTAAGCCCACAAGATGTAAAACATAATATCGCTACCCAAAAGATACTGCAATTCCTAATGGATGCAGGACTCGGAGGCGAACTTTAAGGAAAATAGCGGCGATCATAATAGATCGGTACCGGTCGCAGTGATACTAGGACTTTATTGAACTAGAATAGCCGCTCAACTCAATAAAAAAATAGTTCTTCTGCGTTTGAAACACAAATTAGTACAGTATAGGAGAGGAATAAATTTCAAATAGTTTGTACAGTATCAGTATCGGCGCGCCGACAGCTGGTCGTCGGCGGCGGCGGCGTGAAAAAATTCGCGGCGGCGGCGGCGCGCCGGCGTGGCGCCCACCTCTACTTACTATGGGCCTCATAAGAAGGCTCAAGGTCACCCAAAGGGCGATGGAGCGGGCTATGCTCGGAGTTTCCCTGCGTGATCGAATCAGAAATGAGGAGATCCGTAGGAGAACCAAAGTAACCGACATAGCTCGCAGAATTGCTAAAATCAAGTGGCAGTGGGCGGGGCACNGGTTTTATTTTTTTAAAAAGTTAATTATCTCTTCCAGACACGTTATATTTTATATAATAATACAAGTTAATAAATACATTATTTTTATACCGATAGAGCCCGTCCCCAGCTGGAACCAAACACCTCTCTAAAACATGTTCCACTGCTTCGTCAGTTAAACTTCTAGCAGTCTTCATTTTTTCACGGATCTGAAAGAGAAAAACTTAGAGTCAACTCGTCGTGAAAATGCCCATGTAGATTACCAGATCCAGCGCTTAATTGTGTCAATGCCTAAGCATATTTTTATTTATAACTAGCTGACCCGGCGAACTTCGTACCGCCTTAGCGTAGACATTTTCTTTATATTTTTTTCCGTAAAAACCTTGTACAGAGTATTAGAAAACAACAAAAAAAAATCAGCCAAATCGGTCAAGCCGTTTTCATGTTATGTCGTGACAACGGAAAACGGGTTTCATTTTTATATACAGGGTGTTAGGTAAATGGGTATATGAGCCGACACTAGCCCATGTTAACATCCCAACTAATATTATAAATGCGAAAGTAACTCTGTCTGTCTGTCTGTCTGTTACGCTTTCCCGCTTAAACCTCGCAACCGATTTTGATGAAATTTGGCATAGAGATAGTTTGCGTCCCGGGAAAGAACATAGGATAGTTTTTATCCCGGTTTTTGAAACAGGGACGCGCGCGATAATGTTTTTCTGTGACAGACAAAATTCCACGCGGGCGAAGCCGCGGGCGGAAAGCTAGTGGTCATATAAATGGTATGGTGAAGTCAGAAAATTGATATCTTCATTTTAATGATTTTGTTTTTCATACAAATCGGATTTTATAAAATTTATTTTGTATGAAAATTAAAAAAATCAAAATGATATCAAATTTCTGACTTCACCATACCATTTATATGCCCATGTTAACATGGGCTAGTGTCGGCTCATATACCCATTTACCTAACACCCTGTATATAGACTAGCTGACCCGGCGAACTTTGTTCCGCCCTAATGAATGGCAATAAATAAGCAGACTTTTTTTTAAATTTCGAACGGGATAAAAAGTATCCTATGTCCTTCTCCTGGCTCTAAACTACCTCCCTGACAATTTTCAGCTAAATCGGTTCAGCCGTTCTTGAGTTATAAGTGGTGTAACTAACACGACTTTCTTTTATAATATATAGAAGAAGATACACATTACACATACAAGTCTGAAACACATCCGTGGGCTAAGTGTGAGTTTACATCAAATTTCCTCCTGGTGACCGCGTTAAAAAGAAATGTATGAAATATTTTTCTTGAACGTTTCCGCTAGGGGCGCTGTCGTTGTCGTCGTTTCAGCCAAATGACGTCCACTGCTGGACAAATGCCTCCCCCAAGGTTTTCCATAATGAACGGTCCTGCGCTGCCCGCATCCAGACTGTACAAACGTCATACATTATTTTAATGTATTTTTTTACGCGCTCACGATGTAAACTCACACTAGGCCCTCTTCTGGAGTCTTACTAACTTGTGACGTCACAAAACACCCTACCGTGTCGCTGCCATACTTCAGGCATTGACTTACTTACTCAATCCCAACTAATATTATAAATGCGAAAGTAACTCTGTCTGTCTGTCTGTCTGTCTGTCTGTCTGTCTGTCTGTCTGTCTGTCTGTCTGTTACGCTTTCCCGCTTAAACCTCGCAACCGATTTTGATGAAATTTGGCATAGAGATAGTTTGAGTCCCGGGAAAGAACATAGGATAGTTTTTATCCCGGTTTTTGAAACAGGGACGCGCGCGATAAAGTTTTTCTGTGACAGACAAAATTCCACGCGGGCGAAGCCGCGGGCGGAAAGCTAGTNGCGTCAGTTGTTCATCCTTAAAACCACCCTGATTGCCCACAAACGATTAATCTCATCTGATGAATACAATACTCTCATTAAAAAGCGCGTATTCAAAATCCCCACTCCCTCTGTAAATTCTCGATTTGCAAGCAGATTTGGTGACTATGTCAAGGCGCGTATTTATAATAAGGCAGCAAGCTCTTGTAATATAAAATCTTGTTCTGTTTCGGAAGCAAAGATAGCCCTAAGCAAGTGGTTACTCTCGCTGGATTATTTAAGTACAGAAAACCTGATAAATTGATGTTTTTAGGCTACTCATGATGTTTCTTTTGCACCAGAAATTGCATTGTTGTACTGGTTTTCCTTTTCTCTGCAAGTTACACACTTAATTTTATTGGTTTTCCAAGATACAGGCTTGGCCTAGTTTGGAAACCTCTGTATATTTACTCTGTGTCTCCTTCAGCAATGCACTATTTATATTTAAATTGTGTTACTACCATTGTAAAAGTTTTGTGCAATAAAGAAATATTATTATTATTATTATTATTATTAATTATGGACCCTGTTGGGCGCTGCAATTTAAAATATAAAATATAAGAGAGGAGGCTTTTTTAATTATTAGATTAATAGACTCATCTTATTTTATCATCTAGATATTCTTTTATAGTGTAATAACATTTTGTACTTAAAAGTTCTTACACTATAAAAGACTTAGGACCTGGTAGTAGGTACTTGTAAAATAAGTTACCTCTTCATACCGATACCGCGGAGCAGATTCGACTCCCGCATTCAGTCTCTCATAATTTTTGTAGAACTTGCCGTAGTAGTTTAAATACCATGTCCTAATATCTATACCGAATACAGTCGGGGGCATCCGAGGGTCCAGATGGATGGACCGGGTCACAATCCCGGGGTAAGCAGAGATGTAGTACATTCCTGGAAATATTCAGATAAATTTAGTTAAAACCAGAATTTAGAGGTTGCAGGGACTATTCCCCACCTCTCGTTCCCACCTGTGCAGCCAGGATCTACAGCTTGACCGCCAATAACCCAACCAATGAAGGTCAAGTTTGTCCCGGGGGAAAGTTAAAGTGTCATTGGACCCGCAACGAAATTAATCAGAAGAACATAGGAGGAGTTCGAAGTTAAGGTTCGACAGTCGAAGTCGAACTTCGACTTCCCACCATTAGCGTATGACAGGTGACAAGCGAGAGTCTCGTTTGAATGTTTTAACAAGTACGTCAATCGATAGGTGGTGTCAAATACCCTGTGGGTCTAGACAAAGTGCCATTATAATCGCAAACCAGTCGAAAAGTGGTCGAAAAGCCCCTTTTTTGTATGGAATTTGACGGATTCGATTTTCGATTCGATCAAAAAGTGCGTTTTGTCTAGGGGGGCTGTACTACTTACCAAGATGGCATCCAAGAGAATGTCCAATGAAAGTGAATTTGTCCCATCCGAAATGGTTCTTTACCTTTCCTATGGAAGGCACCAGGTCCATCGCCGACAGTCTGGCACCTGGAGGCAGCCTGTCCGACTTTCCGTTGCCTGACATAAAAAATACAGAGCATGATGTTGTTATATACTTAGTTCGTTCATTTCAGTCAAATGACGTCCACTGCTGGATAAAGCCTCCCCCAAGGATTTTCCTAACGACCGGTCCTGCCCTGCCCGCATCCAGGTCCTTCATTAGATTGTCGGTCCACCTAGTGGGGGGCCTGTCCACACTAAGTAGATACAGAATAGTAAGGTACTTGGTAGCAGGTAAACTCAGGGTTCTGCAGATCCAAAACATTTGAACTCAATGATGTTGACAATAAACTTCTTGTCGCATTATAATCTGTGTAATCTGTGTTCGGCATTAAGAAAATCTAAAGAACTTTGACCGACGACATCGTAATGTTAGCTGGGAGGCATTGAACGCAGGACGCTACCAATCGATCAACGTGGAAAGCATTGGGGGAGGCCTATGTTCAGCAGTGGACGTCCTGTGGCTGAAATGATGATGATGAAAGAACTTTGAGCAATCAGGCCTCTCTAACCCGTCTGGCCAGCGTGGGGAGTGTCAGGCCAAATCCTAGATTTGCCTCATATAAATTAGAAGAGTTACCTTATCTTGCAGTGGAGACTAAATGACTGACGATGATGACTTTAAGATATACTCGTACTTACTGGTCATCACAAAAACCGGCCTACCTACGTTTTACAGGAAAACTCGTTTCTACTGACACAATCATGGTGCCCCAACAATATTGGTGTCATTTGAAAGCTAATTTCCTAATAAACGATTAACATATAACTACAATAAATGTGACTTGAAAAACTTGAAAAAAGACCTCACTTTGGTTGGGCTCACCTCTGGGATCAATTAGACCAATTTTTATGGTTATAAAACCAAATAATGATCTCACGTGTCCTCTTTAACAGATGGATAGCGATTAATCCCAACTTAACAGTTTTATAGCCACAAAAGTTGGCTCAAGCGTAACTAACTACCTATTTTTTGAAGAAGTCACTCTGGATTCTTCTACAGACACATTTTTGGGGTAAAAACCTTTCCTTTAATGAAATGAAGTTTAGAACTAGGCTTTTAAATGGTAATATAGTATAGTAATATTGGTGGGAAGTGGGGATGCATACGTTTGAAAGTGCTTGTCGCGGGTGGGTCGATTTTTATGATGACCAGTGTATTATCATACGTCCAAACCTGGTAAGTCGATGCTGACGTAGAAATACTCTTCAGGCATCAGGCTGACCAGCGGTCTGAAGGAGGAGCAAGTGTCTATCTGGCCGTGGCAGAACAACACAGGCGGGAGGGAGGAGCTCCCCCAGGATAGACCTGGAATAATTAAGGGTAGGTATACCCAACATTGATGAAACAAACGCTGGCCTTAACAGCGTCTTACACTTGAAAATTTCGACGGGTTCATCCAGTGTAGCAGCTTAGATGGAGAGCAGTCGCCCGGTAAGCGAAAGGTCGTGGGTTCGATTCTTTCAAGTTACTTATTTATTTATTTATTTATCCCAACTAATATTATAAATGCGAAAGTAACTCTGTCTGTCTGTCTGTCTGTCTGTCTGTCTGTCTGTCTGTCTGTTACGCTTTCCCGCTTAAACCTCGCAACCGATTTTGATGAAATTTGGCATAGAGATAGTTTGAGTCCCGGGAAAGAACATAGGATAGTTTTTATCCCGGTTTTTGAAACAGGGACGCGCGCGATAAAGTTTTTCTGTGACAGACAAAATTCCACGCGGGCGAAGCCGCGGGCGGAAAGCTAGTTTATTGATAAAGGTACTTATTTATAATTTACAATTCCCAAACTGTGCGTCGCCCTGAGGAGTCGCGGACACGCGGGATTATCGCAAAGGCGTCGTGAGGCGAGAGGTGGCAATATCCTTACTTATTTATTACTGAGAATGACGTATGGCATTAAGCTCGCCTTTTTGTACGGAACATTTTTATGTGTGTGCAATAAAGTCTTTATAAATAAATAAATATTATCCAAACAGGAGCCCCGTTAAGAGAATAAATAAAGCTCAAATTATCATTCGGAAAGGGATACACCATATCGTCTTTCGCGCGCTGTCAACCGCGAGGCGAGGCGTTTGCGTTGTTACGGTGCGGATTTTTTATGTATTGCTATGGAGTTTCATAAGAACACTGACACCTTATCTACAGGGCCCATAAACTAAAATAGTACTCACCAGTTAGTCTCCCCCATGGCACGGATATTTTAAATTCCTTCTCCGTTCTTAAAATTGCAGACTGTATTGCCCTACAACCAGGATTGTACATAAAAGCATTTTTTTTTACATTTATTTAACCCTATAAAATAAGTCTTTTTTAAATTCAGTAAACAGCTCGATTCAATTTATATTATTATTATCATTTTTGTATAAAAAACGGGTTTAATTAATGTATTATTAGTTAAACTTACTCACTTTTTACAAAACAGTAGTGTTGTCAACTGCATTTTGCAATTCACACTCGCGTCTACCTCAGATATCAGGCTAGACATCAGCAAATCAAGTAATAAAGAAATAAAGTATTTTTAGATAATTTTGTGCAACGTTTGAGTTATCTTATCTACCTACATAACACTATTAAAGACTGTCAAAATTTTAAATTATTAATGCAATAACACTTCATAAGTAATTCGAACTTAAACCTTTTCCGAATAATAGCTGTACCCGCGACTTCGTACGCATGAAAATAATTTGAATTTTTGCCCCTATTGATGTTAGCCTAATGCCCGTTTTCACCATCAATCCCTAATGTTTAAGTGACCCCTATGAAAAAAGTCCTGTTATGTGTTACTATAGGGGTCACTTAAAAATTAGGGATTGATGGTGAAAACGGGCTTAAGCCTTCCTCGATAAATGAGCTATCCAACAGAAAAACAGTTAACGCGTTTAAACAAACAAACTCTTCAGCTTTATAAATTAGTTAATATAGTAAGTAGGTATAAAGCCTGGTCCGTGAGCACGTAGAATCCCGTCCAATGACCCCAAGCAACCCATCCTTATCGCTCGCGCGTAATTATATTGCTGTCGCGACTATGCGACGCGCGCCCGCAGTGAGTGTGCGAGCGCGACAGCAACATACTGGGCAGCTTGGGGTCATTGGACGGGATTCTACGTGCTCACGGACCAGGCTTTAGTAGGTTAGTAATACCACAGAATAATAATAAGTACCTACTACATACATAGATGGGAAAAATAAAGATTAAAAGACATTGTTATAACATTTATTTAATACTGTGTGTAAGAATAACGTGTCGTTAACGTCCACAGTTCAAGGTAATGCAAATATTCGGATTTTTTAAAATTACTTCTTCAAAAATTCAGTGATCAACATTGCGCATTCTTCGGGGCTGTGCAAGTGAACATCGTGGCCTACATTCAAAATTACATGCCTGTAGTTCCTATTAGGCCACGCATTGTCGTCTGTAACCATAGGATAGTTCTTGTATATCTTCATGTATTCTGGGGAGAGAATAGCCAAGATTGGGGTCTTAGAGGCCGTGTAGAGATCTATGTATGCGCCTTTTGGGAAGGGCAGAAGCGTATTCAGTTTCAAACACTGGTCGTGGGTCAACCTGGAATCAAATTGAAATTATAGGAGATCCTAAACGAACTAAATGTCACTGACATACCCCGACACATTAGCAAGCTGAAGTGGGCAGAGCACAAGTACGCAGAACTGACAGCCGATGGGGCAGCAAGGTTCTGGAGTGGAGGCCATGTATGTACCGGAAAACGCGCAGCGTGGGACGTCCACCCACAAGGTTGACCGACGATCTGGTGAAGGTGCTGGATGCAGGCCGCTACCAACCGGCTTTTGTGGAAATCATTGGGGGAGGCCTATGTTCAGCAGTGGACGTCCTATGGCTCAAATGATGAAGATGACTCCAAGCGTAGCCCTAGGTATAATACCTAAGTAACAGTGAAGTTAATGCGGGTGAAGCTGCAACGGGACTATTCCCACCTCTCGTTCCCACCATTGCAACTCCTGTGTAGCCAGGATCTACAGCTTGACCCCATAAAAACCCAACCAATGAAAGTCAAGTTTGTCCCGGGGGAAAGTTAAACTGTCATTGGACCCGCAACGAAATTAATCAGAAGAACATAGGAGTTCGAAATTAAAGTTCGACTTCCCTTCATTGCAAAGCGGATGATAGGTGACAAACAAAGGTTTAAAACCTTTAAGAAAAGATTATGGTAGTGATTATGGGTGAATCTGCAGTCAGAAGTTACTTACCTAAATAATCCATCGCCAGCCGGTTCCAGGCATCTCTCAAGAACGTGGTCTGCAGACTTTTCGTCCAAACCCCTTGCTTTCATTAGCCTTTTTCTAACCTAAAAACAAAAAAAAAGAAAATCACTTACAGTTACTCTATCATCTTCGTTAACCTCTTAACTAGATTATTTCTACAACCCTTATTTACATACAGGTTATGGTCCCCCCCAGTGGCGTAACTATAGGGTAGCAGGACTGGCAATATTCCACGGGCCCCCGACCCGAGGGGGCCCCGGCCCAAGTCCCTAATAGCCCTGCTTCAAGGCTGGATGGTCCCGGGGCCCCCCTGAAAAGAAACCCTAGAACTTTCTACGAGCCCCGGGTCCCGGACGGTATATTTATATTATACAGTGTGTCCGGGCATGTAGTGATCAAACTTTAAGGGCGTAATCTATGGACAATTTTATCGGTGAAAATACTTTAAATTTGGGGCTTGACCCATTTCTCACATATTTACAAGGATTTAAGGTTTTAATTTTAAGTTTTCACCTCTTCCTTTAAAAACAAGTGATAGCGTGGGTAGTTTAACATTAATAAGCAAAAATTTTATATCATGCGATAGCCAATAAAATTATCTATTAGTAGAAGTAGAAAACAGATACAAGTTTCATACATTTTAAGGGTGTAAGAATGGATTTAATTAGAAATAAACATGATTTTTTTCACATCTTTTTCAGTTATTTCCCAACACAAGAAAAACCAGGTCGTTAAGGTATGTTTTATTTGCATTTTATTATTAGTATTTGAGCTATTCTACAAAACGAATGTAAATTAATTAGTCTACGTCTATTAGTTTCGACGTAATTATTGAACAAAGATACCTCTTCCCAGCGGTTTCCATAGGGCACGCGACATGCGAAAATGCACTGCCTGAAAGAATCACACAACCTATTCCGATTACTATGGAAACCGCTGGGAATGGGTATCTTTGTTCAACAATTACGTCGAAACTAATAGACGTAGACTAATAAATTTACATTCGTTTTGTAGAATAGCTCAAATACTAATAATAAAATGCAAATAAAACATACCTTAACGACCTGGTTTTTCTTGTGTTGGGAAATAACTGAAAAAGATGTGAAAAAATTCATGTTTATTTCTAATTAAATCCATTCTTACATCCTTAAAATGTATGAAACTTGTATCTGTTTTCTACTTCTACTAATAGATAATTTTATTGGCTATCGCATGATATAAAATTTTTGCTTATTAATGTTAAACTACCCACGCTATCACTTATTTTTGAAGGAAGAGGTGAAAACTTAAAATTAAATACTTAAATCCTTGTAAATATGCGAGAAATGGGTCAAGCCCCAAATTTAAAGTATTTTCACCGATAAAATTGTCCATAGATTACGCCCTTAAAGTTTGATCACTACATGCCCGGACACACTGTATATTTATGCAAGGTCCCCCTAGGGGCCTAGCCCCTTCTTTCCCACTAGGCACATGAAGACGCTTGGATCGCAGGATTCCCGTTTGTTCTAAAAAAAGTTATATAATTTCATTATTATCATTTCCCCTTCTTTTTTTTTAAAAGGGCCCAGTGGACTCCAGTAGGTTAAAGACTATACCACAATAGGCTTCATAAAAATGCTTAATACAATAGCACCTAAAGGGCGAGGAGTGTGCTAGAGAATTTCCTGAGGTTTGAGGCTTACTCTAGCTGTGGATTGCAACTGGCTGAACTGGCTAAAACTAAAATGTGACAATAAAAAGTAAAAAAACTAAAAAAAAAAACAAAATATCTCTACGGCCCCAGAACAGACGGTGAAACGCAACTGCAACGAAACTGCAACTGCTAGTTACTTTTGAATTGCATCTAAGTTTCTACCATAGCGTCCGTTGAGAGTGCGACCAGTGCCGTAACTAGGGCGGTGCCAGCGGTGCCCAGGCACAGGGCGCAGACCCTGGAGGGGCGCAGAAATGACCAGACCAAGCATTTTTCAAGGGCGCAGTTTTGAAAGCTCGCACCGGGCGCATAAAAGGCTAGTTACGGCACTGAGTGCGACCAGTTTGAAGCTTTCAGTTTCAGTTTCATTCATGAGAATCATCAAAAAGTCGCAGTTTCATTGCAGTTGCGTGTCACCGTCTGTTCTGGGCCTATGACTAACCTCCTCGTAAGTGTACTTCGGTGCATTTTCGTACCCCGAATTTAATTTCTGGTAATGCTCATCGCTGTAGAACGGTCCGTAGCCCTCATGGTACCAAGTCCTGAAGTCGTGAGTGGGCCAATAAGCTGGGGCCGGGTCCAGCTCCACTATACGCGATAGATGACCTGGGTATGCTATGTTATAAAACTTGCCTGGAAACGGGAGATATAAGTAGATCGTTAATTTCATCCACGAAGACGCGCCCCACCAATTTTTGGTCGAGGACGCGCGGGGTGCGGGGAGTTTGATCCGAGAAATCCGAGCGGCATTATTGCAGTGTGCGTGTATCAGGGATAATTACGCGTGTGCCGATAACACTCAAACATTAGCGGAAGAATGGTGGGGCGCGTCTTCGTGGATCAAAACACACACGAACATAAAAATGTTTAAGTACTTACTAAATAATGCTCCGAGCGAGTGCCCAATATAAGCGAACTGGTCCCATCGAAAATGTTCCTTAACCCTCGCTATAGTAGGTACAAAGTCCATTGCATTAATCTTAGCACCCCTCGGAAAGGGATCCGAGTACCCATATCCAGGCATGTCTACGCTGACATAGAAATAGTTATCAGGCAGTAGGCTCACGAGGGGTCTATAGGATGAGCAGGTGTCGAACCGACCGTGGCAGAGAAGGACTGGCGAGTTGGATGGATTTCCCCAGGTTAAGGCTGCAAAATTAAAATAAAATATACGTACCACTTAAGGGTTATCCATAAAGTACGTCACACGTTAAGGAGGAGGGAAGGGGTTGGAGAAGTGTGACATTGTGTGACAAGGGGGAGGGGGTCGGAGAAGTGTGACATTGTGTGACAAAAGGGAGGGGGTCGGAGAAGTGTGAACATTGTGTGACAAGGGGGAGGGGGTCGGAGAAGTGTAACATTGTGTGACAAGGGGGAGGGGGNTGTTACATTGTGTGACAAGGGGGTGGAAGGAGGTCGGAGAAGTGTGACAAGGGGGTGGGAGGGGGTCGGAGAAGTATGACACGGTGGGAGGGGGTCGGAGAAGTGTGACATTGTGTGACAAGGGGGTGGAAGGAGGTCGGAGAAGTGTGACATTGTGTGACAAGGGGGTGGGAGGGGGTCGGAGAAGTATGACACGGTGGGAGGGGGTCGGAGAAGTGCGACATTGTGTGACAAGGGCACGGGGTCTGAATTTAATATTCCTACCCTACATGGACGGGGGAGGGGGTCAAAAATTATGAAATTAGTGTGCCCCTTAGAGAGACGTTGCGGTGTCGCAATGATATTTTTAAGCTATGGAAGATAATTAATTTTATTTCAAATTATTATGCTAAGGTAGGAAAGTGTTGGGACCTCCTAAGAACCCCACATGGGTCCACTGACATAGATCCATGTAAAATAAATTAAACCTACCTGCCAATTTTGGGTTAGTCCCAACGGCCCCGGTGGATCTGCCCCGTCAACGGGGTGGATGGGAAAAGGTGTTTCAACGACCCCGGTAGTCATAGCTATAGAGTATAGCTAAGACTATGACTACCGGGGTCGTTGAAACACTTTTTCCCATCCACCCCGTTGACGGGGCAGATCCACCGGGGCCGTTGGGACTAACCCGGGTTAGTCCCAACGGCCCCGGTGGATCTGCCCCGTCAACGGGGTGGATGGGAAAAGGTGTTTCAACGACCCCGGTAGTCATAGCTATAGAGTATAGCTAAGACTATGACTACCGGGGTCGTTGAAACACTTTTTCCCATCCACCCCGTTGACGGGGCAGATCCACCGGGGCCGTTGGGACTAACCCCCAATTTTCCCCACGGTACCTTCACTTCAATGTTTTGTTCCGTTGCTTGTAATGCCGAGTTTGTAACCCTGTGGATGGATATTATCGTTAATTCATGAACGAGTTATCTATATAATAATTTCTAAAAACAGATAGGCCCTACAATGTCATTTTTATAAACTTATAATCTTATACGATCAAAGAAATCCGCGTGCACAACACAACATATACATTGAAGCGGCGCGGCATCGGCAGCGCAGTGCGTTATTTAACAACTTTTAAGTTTCGCGCCAAAATTGTATATTTTAAGGTTAGCTATGGTTAGACGTTGTAGATAATAAACATTAATAAACGAGTTAATTAATAGCTAATTAATCAAAACGAAGTGGTAAGCATCTAATTAAAATTAATTAATTAATTATTCTGTTAAAAACTTACGATTTGGCGAACCGCAGTGCAGTAAGTTTCATTGTTTACAAAAACACTGTGACATCAATTCGATATTTTAGCCATATGTAATAGGAATACGTGTTATAATTCCTTGAAGAATGTTTTCAATGCAGCAAAAGGACTTTGTTGTTGTTTCTAGTAGATATTGGTGTGTGTGTGTGTGTGTTATCGAATTTGGCACAGTGAACATTGGACCTTGGACCATAAATAAGCGTGTGATTAAAAAGTGTTTCATCTTGATAAAACTTTTTATCACTTCATGCGCTCAAAACAGATAAAAACTAAATAGAAGAAAACGCCTAAAATATCCTAAAGCGAAGTACAAGGTACAAATATTATCTATCTTGTGAATTTTAAAATCATTCAATAAAATGCTAATCGATTAATAGAACTCGTAATAGGTAATGTATATCCTGGAACATCACTAGCTTGTTTTGACGTCTGAACAGGCGAGTTCTGTCAACTGCTGTCATCACTGTCATTCTGTGCAACAAGTAAAAGTTTGCAAAAATTATGTCGTACTAGTTTTGAACTTTGGTCTAAAACCTTCATATTCATATTCATATTCATATTCATTTATTTGCTCACTAAGTGTAGGTACATAAGGTCTTATAACTAAATACAGTGCTTAAAACTTAGTAACCTAGTTTAGGTATTGCAAATTTTTTGGAGAGCTGCATGCATGCTATATAATTATTTATTTTGTAGGTAAGTATAATATTATATTTTAAGTATTTATTTACAGTCCAGAGCGCCATTAAAAGTTATTCAGTTTACGTTAGTGTATTAGTTTTATCACAAAATCAGTCCTGTATTATTATTTTATTTATTATTTAAATATTCATCTAATTTATAGTAACATTTATTTATTAAGTATTGTTTCAACTTTTTATTGAATGTTGTGTACTTTTGTTCATTTTTTATTTCTTGTGGTAGTTTATTAAATAACTTGATGGCCATGTAATATGGGCTGGTATTTAACATTTTTATTCTGGAGTATGGGAGGCATAGCTTTTCTTTGTGTCGAGTATTAACGTTATGTGTGTCTTGCATTTTTTTGAATAAATGTGTATTTCTATAAACAAATGAGCATAGGTCATGGATATATATTGCTGTTAGGGTCATTATTTTGTATTTTATGAAATAAGGTTTGCAACTCTGTGTGTTATCTATTTGGGCTATGATTCTTATACACTTTTTCTGCAATAGAAATAAGTCATTGGCATTAACGCTGTTGCCCCATAGCATTATTCCATATTTAAGCCAGGAGTATGCATAGGCGTAATACGCTGTTAGTGCTGTTTCTGTGTTTGTGCTGTGTTTTATTTCAAATAGGGCGTATGTAAATTTTGATATTTTGGTTCTTATTTGATCTATGTGCGTTTTCCAGTTAATGTTTGTGTCTATGTGTAGTCCTAGTAAATTAAAAGTTTCTACTGATTCTAATTGTACATTTTTTCCAAGTGTTATATTGATGTCTAAAGGGGCTTTTGTATATGGTCGGAATTGTATTACTTTTGTTTTTTTAAGATTAATTTCTAAGTTATGTAGTTCCAGCCAATGTGTAATATTTTCTAATGTGTTACTTATAAGGATGTCGGGGCTCGAGTTTTGTTCGCACTTAATTAAGATTGATACGTCATCTGCAAAAAGTATAGGTAATGATATTTCTTTGTTTAGTATTTTTGGAAGATCGTTAATGTATATTAAAAAGAGGACACAGCCTAGTACACTCCCTTGAGGAATGGAACAGGTCATGTGTCTCTCTTCGGATGTTATTGTTTCTATCTCGTTAGTTGTAGTGTTGTGGAAATCAATTTGGACTATTTGTTTTCTGTTTGACAAGTATGATCTAAACCAGTTAAAAGCTGTACCTCGTATACCTGAACCATATAATTTTGACAATAGGATGTTATGTGAAACTTTATCATATGCTTTGGTCATATCTAATAATATGCCCAAGACATATTTTTTATCATTTAGATGTTGCAGGGCAGCTTGAATGTATTTATATACAGCCAAGGTAGTTGATCTAGTTTTTCGGAATCCATTCTGGCAATCATCTAGAATTTTAAACTTTTCTAAAAATGTGTACAGTCTATTACACATGGCCTTCTCAATTACTTTTGAAAATGATGGTAGGATTGCTATTGGTCTATAATTTTTAGGGTTGCTTTTGTCGTCTTTTTTATGAACCGGTTTGACTATTGATATCTTTAACAGGTTGGGAAATTCTCCGTCGCGAAAACTTTGATTAATTAAATAGGTAAGAGGTTGTGATAATTCTTCAGCACACTGTTTTATTAGTTTAGGTGGAATCCCGTCTACACCATAGCTATGTTTGTTTTTTAGATGGTTTATAATTTTAATTACTTCTTCGCGTGTTACAGGGTTTAGGTACAATGAATTTATAGGGGGGTCAATTACAGGTTGCCCTATATTGATTTTATTGTTATTATTTTGGCCAACAGTAACAAAATATTTGTTAAATGTTTCTGTGATCATTTTTGGACATTCAATGTTTTTATTATCAATTACCAGTTTCATGTTTTTGTATTTTTTCTGTTTATTTTTTCCAGTTTTACTATTTATAATATTCCACATGGTTTTTATTTTGTTGTCAGAGTTTTTCATTTGTTTTATGTACATTAGCTTTTTAGATGTTTTGACACAACGTTTTAATGTTTTAGTATATGATTTGTAGTATTTTTTAATGGTTTCACTATTTGTTTCATTTACAAGTATGCCTAGTGCTCTTTTATGGATGCAAGATTTTTTTATTCCTGTAGTAAGCCAAGTTTTTTTTATAGTATTTTTAATTTTAATTTTTTTCAATGGAATATGTTTATTTAGGTTATTTTTTACTACTGCTATGAATGAATTATAGTTATAGTCTACACTTTTATTTTCGTCTATGATCTTATCCCAATTTTGCTCTTTTAGTGAATTTTTAAACATATTTATATTGCTTTCTGTAAATATTCTTTTTTGCTTGTAGAGAGTGCAGTTGTCTTCATAATGCCACTTTGAATTTAGTTTGACTTGGACGGCTCTAAAATAAATAATACGTTTTTAGTGAGAATGGAGATAGATTATAACGATCTAAGTATACCTGCTCCTTGGGGGAAAGTTTCAGGTAATGTTTATTAATTCATTACAGTCTTGTATAGTGTTGTTGCAGTGTTGATTAAAGTGATTGACTGGCCTGAAACAGTTGTTGTATTAATTTTTTCGTCATTTTATTATTTACTTACTGTCGGTACCTTTGCATTGATCTATATTTTTTCCACAATTATTATGCCTAAGCGTTTATTAGTTTTAATTGGTTTTAATTTGTTCCCCATACTGTCACATAAATGTTCATTCTTCTTTTTACAATTGAAACTTAACAATTTTAATTGGTAATAAATGAAAATAACAGGTTTCTATGCAGTTTTATGCCATTATTTAAAAACAACTTTTTTGTAGGCCTACGATGAGCGCTACAATAAAGCTTTATTGAGGTATTTTATAGATTTTGCACCATAAGCCCATACATTTTTCTCTAAAATCATCGATAAGATTTTCTCGCACATCCAAAGTGTAACATAAAATAATTATTATAAATATTTTTTCTGAATTGCAGTGGCTACATGGGGCTCCCCATCCAGCCCACCAGTGCTGCTAATGCACGGCAGACAAGACAGTGCGGCCACATTTGTCGCGCTCGTGAGACTCCTGCCAACGGACCACTATTATGTTGCAGTTGACCTGCCAGGACATGGAAGATCAGATCCCTACCCCAAAGGTATATACTCTTTTGAGTATCTATCCACCTACCTATCTCAATTTATTGCATGACCAACTTTAATACTCAATCATAAAATTATAAAAAATAAAAAATCTTAAGAGATGTACTACAGCACCATCAGTGGGTTGAGTGTGAGTTTACATTAATTGTATGGAAATTTTAGTTTTTGAAGGTTTACCGCCAGGGGCGCTGTACAATCCGTCATACATTTAATGTCATTTTTTGACGCGCTCACTAGTGTAGCGCGTTTGATGAAAACTCACACTAGGCCCTCTGATTCCAAATTAAGTGTGGCTTGTACCTATAAACATTACTAGAACCTTTTTTTTCCTAGCTCTCTGATAGTTTATAATACTTTAGCATAGTACATATTCATTCTTTCAAAAATAATAAAATATGAAGATGATGGGAGAAAGGAAAATAAAGGAGGGCATATTTGCAGCTACAAAGCTAACTGTAACATCTTGTACTATTAGCAATAAAAATATTGAGTATTAACCTTGATCATTTATCTTCCAGGTCTGGTGGGAGCAAGATTTCACTACGTACACACTGTGGACATAGTGGTAAAGCATATGGGCTGGAAGAAATTCGTCTTCATAGGCCACTCCATGGGCTGTGAAATTGGTATGTTGTATTAATGTATTATTCAATTCATTTTATTTATTTAAAGATAACAATGATCCACATGGTTAGTAAATGGGTGCCTTACACAACTATACCATACCATAATATTCTCCCTAATACCCTTTCGAAATAAAAACTTGCATTCTGTTTAACTCATTTTACTAGAATTAATTCTTTTACAGTGCATAATTTGAAAGAAAGAAAAAATAATAAATATTTAATAGTTTCTTTCTTGATCATTTTATTTGTATGCCTTACTAACCAGAAAATGTTTTTTAGTTTTTATAAAAAACTGTATTATATTCAACCCGTACCCTTATTATACCTACAACCCTAGTCGGTTATGCGAGCTAGATCTACCCAAAAATCCAAAATTCACCCTCAATCTGCTATTTTCAGGTTTATTCTACAACGCAGCAAATCCAGGTCGTATAAACGCGTTCATCCTCCTGGACCCAGGACCCACGTTCCAGCGGCTACAGCAGCCGGATCATGTGCGCTTTTACAAACACTACTATGCCAGATACTATGGGAATTATAAAAGGTATGCATAGCATGAAATGGAAATCGAGTCCTGATTTTGAAAATGAAATAAAAACATGATTATATTTATTACTAGCTTTTGCCCGCGGCTTCACCCGCGTAAAATTTAATTTGTCACAAATCGTCATAAATTATAGTTATTCTGGGTTATAAAGAATAATAGGTACTGTAAAGTTTCATCAAAATCCGTTTAGTATTTTTTGCGTGAAAGAGTAACAAACATCCATCCAGACATCCAAACTTTCGCATTAAAATATGAGTAGGATTTAATACAGTATAAATTGGCACATAAGACAAAGTTAATGGCAAAAGGTATTCTCGGTCAATTCACCTATTGCCGGGATAAGATGTGAGCCGTGATAAAATCTTATCGATGATTTTAAACAATAAATGTATGAGATATCGCGTAAAATCGATAAAAAAATGTCGCGATGAAAGCTTATCGCGGCGCGCATCCTAGGCGTACTGGATAAATAGGAAAAATTGATTTTTTTTTTTTGTTTAAGATCTTTATTATTTCTCACAAGAATTATAATTCACTTACGTGAGATAATTAAATACAATATTTTGTAACAATAGCTTTGGATATACGTACAAACTAAAAGATAAAAAAACAATTTCATAAAATAACTATAAGTGGGTACTTCACAATTTGCGCGCGATCCGTAAAATATCGCCAGTCAGCGCGCGCCGAGTCCGACTAAACGTAGAAACACAGAGTTAAACGCGCGGGAATGCAAGTGGCCTATTCTAGCTACGCTCAGGTAAAGATGTGTTTCATTAACAGTTTTGTGCAGAAACAAGTCGTACAGTTAATTATTATTACTAATAATATTATAACAATCTCATTTCGTTCATTTTTGATTCCACTAAAAAATCTGTTATCATTAACCCACACGTAGTCAGTTATGAAGACTTTGATTCTCCGCAAAAATGTTTCTTATCTGATATGATGATAATGATATATGATATCTGCCTATTTGTAGATAGATCAACTCTGTAATAAACTTAAAATGGCTCTACCAACCTTATTCGACTTGTGACGTCAGACTAACAGGTTAATGATAATTTATATAAGTAAAATTATATTGGTTTTTATTTTTCCAGATACAATGGGCCCGGTTTAGTGTACACAAAGAGAAAAATCCTAGATAACGTGATGAAGGGCCGCCAGTTCAATGAAGAGCAGGCCGAAGTAGCTCTTTCTAGAAACCTGGTGCAGATCGGGGATGATAAATATAGGTAATTATATAGACAGAATATACTATCGGCGGAGACGGCCCGATAGAGTAGTGGAAAGGATGGCCGGATTCGATTTTTTGCCAGAGTCCTTTTGTGATATTATTATTTGATCTATTTGAAGAACATTTCAGAAATTATACCCTACTACTGCTTTGATGCAATAATTTGGGCTAGTCCAGTAACATAATACCTATTACCTAACTAAAGGCTTTTCTAATCTTGATAGTACCTAAATCAGAGTATCATACATGGTGTGCCTAAAACACTGCCATAGCTTGTGTATTTGTACTAAGTTTGATTCCAACAAAAGTCCTGCAGTCGTCGGTACCTATAGTTCGATGCAGTAAATGATATATTCTTCTAATCTCTATTTCAGGTTAACAACAGACTCCAGGTCTAAATACTGCGTGCCACAAAACTTTCCAAACGACTACTACATTCACCTATTCACTAACAACGCTCCCCCCACCCTTATAACAGCAATGAGTCACGGTTCCCGCGGTGTTAAGAGGGGGAAAGAAGGCGCTGACGAGTTATTAGAAGCAAAGGAAAATAAAATTCGTGTTTTTAAAAGATTAGAACTGATAGGTGGACATGATCATCATGTGACACATCCTGAGGAATTGATAGCACCGATTGAAGAGTTTTTGAGGGAGCACTCTAGTCAGGTCCAGTCGAAGTTGTAGGCAAAAGCTATTAGACTAGTAAAAATATGATAAAGAAGAGCCCAATTGTATTTACAACAGTAAATCAAATAGGTTTTTTTTGTTTTAGCCAAAATACTTTGTTTGGTATAAGTTTACCTAATATTATAATGACTTATAAAGTTGACGATATTTTATATGGGCATACGGGTATTACACAGTGCATAGTAATTATTTCTTGGTGAGGTTAATTATACAGGTTTAAGGTAAAAATTAGTAGCAGGCGTCTGTAAATAAATAGCAAAGTATGACATTCAGGCATTATTTCTCAGTCTCATTCACGCCTGTGTAAAAAAAAAACTTATGAGCTAGGTACCTTTATTAACTACTTTTAAGGCCAACACACTTCATAAAGATTATTGTAATTGAATAAAACAAACATTAATTAAATCTCTCATGAAATTACATTATTTAATTGCCCAATATTTGTTTGCATTCCGATACCAGTGAAATGTGATATTTTTAATTTATTGTATTCTTGTTATTATTTTATGTGTTTGAATTTTATTAATATGTTTTTAAACATTACAGTCATTTAATTCGACGATTGCTTCCTGTATATAGTTTTTTTCTCAACAACAGCATTCATCTGATTCATCGTAATACCTACATTTTTTTGTTTCAGTTTTTTGAGTAAAGCTAGTCAAAACTCAAATCCTTACATAAAAATAACTAATTTAAACTTAGAATTTGAATAAACATAACGAGTATTTCCATTTTATTATAAATTAGTTGGTTCTAATCGAAAATTTGTATCGATTACGAAAATCATTACTATTTATCGATCAATTGCAATCGTATCACTTGCTAACTTTTCCTATGTATTACTTTTCTCTATGTGCTAACTTGCTATCTTTAGCTCAATTTGGTACATCCTTACTATTTTGACAGAAACTTCAAACTTTATTTCACTTCGTTTCAGTTTTCATAATTGGATTTGTCCACAGATGAGACAGGGGATTTGTCTGAGAGTTGTGTGAATAACAATTTATTCTAAATTAATTTGTATATAAGTCTAAAAACATCTATTTGATTTTGTTTTGAATTAGACCTTGAATATTAAGTGAAAACATCATAATGCCTCTGAATGAAAATGAGTGGTACATTGAAGCACCTTGGGGCAGAATTTGCAGTAAGTAATTAATAGAAACAATTATTTTTTATTAAAGAACAAAATGTTTATCCGCACACTTTTTGTTAAATCTAATTTTAAAGCAGTTTTATAAACATAACCTAATAAAAGTTGTTTTGCACTTTGTACCTTTTTTGTACTACTAAATAGTGACATCAGATAAAAATTTACGCAAATCATTTTTATCTACTTGATGAAAGTTATCTAGTAGCATTAGGTTACATAAATTAGAAATTTTTATTTGTACATGAAGATATTTAATTTTGTTTGAAATCATCTCGGTGTTTTCTATAATATTATGTATTTGTTTATTTACAAAAAAAAAGTATTTAAGTAAATTATTTCCATAGTCTGGTACAAGCTGTGCATCGTTAATCTTTATTTGCAATGAACAGAAAATTTTAAAACTAACCCAAACTTCAAAACAAAAAAAGATATAAACTTATTTATTACTCAAAAAGTGTGTCCGCGAGGCAAAGAGGTGAGGATGCTGGCTGCATTTCCTCGCTGGATAGCAATACTAAGCCTTTGTGCAAGGAAAGAGCCAGCATTGCTTAGTTTGGTTTATATTTTTTCTTAAATGAAACCTCCAAATATCAACTATAGCACCATTTTTTGTAAATTATTGTTTTCAGAGTTTTATATTATTATCATTTCGTATAATTAGGCTCCTATTGTTGTATAACTCAGGGGCCCTTACAAGGGCAGTTTTAACAATTATGTATACAGGATAATTTTGTAAAGTATCTTCATTTACACAAAATAGAAAACTGTCATATTAATGAATAATTATAAAAGGTGTCCCAAGATAACACACATGCTTACAGCATCTCAGTTTTCTTGAATTTTCCAAATACATTTTTACAGTTGAACTGTGGCTGTCAAACTTTCCTTATTTTTTAAATATTGTATTAAAACTATGAAACTTATTTAAAAAAGTTAAATAGGCGCTGAACACTTGTTTGAATTGATAAATTCTTTATCATTCTTGAGTCTTTAATGACTCCAGTATTTTTATGGAGCCTAAACATTTCCATAAGTTTTTTTTTGGGTTGAATCAATTTACTCTTTTAAATATTTCCGTCCATTTCAGGACAGCCTGTTGTAATCAAAACTTCTAGCTTATTTTTTTTTTAGCTTATTAGGAATTCATTTCATTTTAAGAAATTTTCGTCAAGTTGTCAAGTTGTTTGATGACAAGACAAGAGGGAATTTAAATGAGACTCATTTGAATTTATTCAATAACATCTTTCTGTTGTCTGTTACGCCAGTTACGCTTGAAATGAATGATTGATTACGCATTAAGACAATGTACTGCTTTAAAATTAATAAAACCAAAAGAGCCTCATAACTATTGATCGGATAATCTGATACGTATTTACCTTTAAATTAATTATGGAAGTGACTTCTTAAAAAGCATATTTTAAAGTATGAATCCCGGGATTCCAGAATATTCGGGAATGCGAAACTAAACCAACACCTTAAAATAAGTGTGTATGTTACGGTCAAAACCATTTTTGACTGCAAAAATCAGTCAAAAGTGGTTTTGACAAAATGCCACAGGCCCCTGACCCAAGGGAGCCCTGGCCCAAGACAATAATCGCACCCCCACCCCCCTTGCAATGCTTCAGGGCGATGGTCCTGAATAAAATCTTTGACGTTGAATGTAATTTTTTTTAGTCATAGCATGGGGAGACTGCCTGGTGTTTTAGCCTAGGCGCAGCCTACAGATGTATGAAAGTGTGCACATTGGTGTCGGCCAATTCTTCATATAAATTAGAATTGGGCCCAACTATCAGCCGACAGCCTAGGCGCAGACCACCAATTTTTAGTTGGTCGATAGTTGGGTCGGGCTATTAATCAGTATGGACATTTATGAAAGTGCGCACATAGGTATCAGAATCGGGCCCAACTATCGGCCGACTAAAAGTCATAGTCTGCGGGGAGTCCTGTTAAAAGCTTGTCATAATCGTCATCAACAGCCCTTTACAGTCCACTGCTGGACTATGAGCCTCCACTATAGTGTTGTTTTGCCATAATCCCCACGCTTGCTTGGCAGGCGGCGATCGCAGTTAAAAGGTTGATGTTTTTCAGAGAACGCTGCTGCCCATTCTCTGTTTGATGTGTAGTCGCCTCTTACGACACCCGCAAGAAGATTTGGGGTTGGTGACAATGTATTCTACTCTGCCGTCACCACACGGCGTGCTAAAAGCTTGTATTGTTTCTTTTTTCAGTCATAGCATGGGGAGACTGCTTGAATCCCCCGGTACTACTGTGCCACGGGTCTTTGGACTCCGCCGCCACCTTCAGGCCTCTGGTAGCGATGCTGCCCGAAAACTTTTATTATATCGGTAAGGATAAATTAGTTATTTATATACAATATCGCACATACGGTGCTATAACGTCACTTATGCAAATAATAAATACAAACAAAAAACAAAATTGTTGTTTCGATACTAATATTAATTGCAAAAGTAACTGTCTGTCATACTTTCATGTATAAACCACTAAACCGTGATGAAATTTTAGTATAGCGATAATTTGAGTCCCGGGAAAGGACATAGGATAGTTTTTATTCTTGTTTTTGAATTAGGGACGCGCGCGATAAAGTTTTTTTGTGACAGACCAAAAAAATTTCATGGAAACATTGAATTTTCGGATAGATCCAGTTAATTCTGTAACTTAGTTTGGGGCTAGCGGCGCAGTCTAAAATGTCCAAAGATATTTATGTATTAGTTTTATGTACTTTTCTTTCTTATTTTTAAAAATTTTTTACAATGTAAATTATCAAAAAATAAAAAGTACATTATAAAAAAAAAACTTAAAATAGTTAATCCGCTGGCAGCGGAGCAGGGCCCAAGCTACCGGTGGTCAGGGTCACAGGCTGAGGAACCTCCGGACAATGCGTGCCGTGCTGAGGATCACCGCCTAACGCCTTTTGTATTATTATTATTGAGACCATTTGATAGAGCTTGTGAAGCACTTTCAGGATCAGTAGCTAGTTTTTCGATGATGTCAATGTCACCTTCCCGTGTTGCTCCCATACCTCGGGGACGGTGCAATTAGTGTCAGCTCATGAGTGAGTACTCTCGTACTCTCATCATCGGTTGCTAACCAACATCCTAATGCGTGCTTCATATGATTCTGTGGCTCGACTTTCGCCTGACGCGGCAACTAAATAAAAAGCCTAACAAAAGCCGGACAGGCCGGACAAGACAATATTTGGCCGGACAAGTCCCTAAAAAGCCAAACATGTCCGGCTAAAGACGGACGCCTGGCAACCCTAGACGCGCCCCCTTTCGACCGTACAAAATATCCCACGCCCCCCCTCCTCCAGTCAAGATTATTAAAATTTATTGATCGTATCGAGCAGTCTGGAATGCATTCTCTCAGCGGTTGCAGGTTTTTTATACTTAAAGCCCCCCGCCCCCCTTTAAAGGTCTTTGCGCCTCCCCTGGGGGGCGCGCCCCTCACTTTGGGAACCAATGCACTATAGTCTGGTCCGTGAGCACGTAGAATTTTGTCCAATGACCCCTAGCTACCCATCCTTATCGCTCCCGCGTAATTATGTTGCTATCGCGCTCGCACACTCACTGCGGGTGCCAGTCGCACAGTCGCGACAGCAATATTATTACGCGCGAGCGATAAGGATGGGTAGCTAGGGGTCATTGGACAAAATTCTACGTGCTCACGGACCGGGCTTTAGACCTAAATATGTATTGACTATTTCAGCCATGGAGTTCCCAGGCAATGGGAAGTCAGACTGGTTCCCACCAGGGCTCATGCTGAGCTCTTACGACTTGGTGTACCCCGTAGCTGTCGTCGTCGAACACTTCCGATGGCAGAAGTTCGTCTACATGGCACACTCTTTCGGCACCATTATTGGTAAGTTACATAATAGGGTAGAAGCATCGATTTTAAAAGTTATTAAATTATGTTTAAATAAATACTAGTTAAAAAAAACTTTTAAAAAAATCGGACTGGAAAAAAAAGTTTCAACTTTGTATGGAAATAGCTGAGACGTCAAATGTTACCCGCCCATAGTAACTTGTATGGGACTCTGGCGGTCAAGCTGTTCATCCTGGCTACACAGGAGTTGCAGCGGTGGGAATATTCCCGTTACTTAGTAGATGATACCTTTATAAACGTTTGTTTCTTATGACGATATCGAAAACGTAGTCAAACCTTATACATAGTATTCACACACACACACACACTCACACACTGACACGCGGTACAATAGAGATTAGAATAGATATACTTAAATATTGTTAACACAAGAGCGGTGTTCCCTAACACAAGCAACTGTATGCTTAAAAGGAAACTCCCTGTATGTTATTTAAGTACTTTTGTAATGAAATAAAATATTTTGTATATTTGTATTTGTATTCTTCATTTCAGGCAAGCTGTACAATCTGTCCTACCCAGGGAAGATCTCAAAAGTGATCAATTTGGACCCCACGCCGAATCTACTGACAGTGCCTGCTGATGAATTTAGCGAATGGTAACAAAATTTGCAGTCAATACGTACTTATTTTTAATTAGTATAAAAACTGATGCTTACCTGCCTGCCGCTCTATGAAATGTTTCTTTCTTTCTTTCAAATGTTCTAGAGTCAATGCCAGTGTCGCCCTTTCACGAACCAAACGTCACACATTTTACGTGTAATTGTACTTTTCATAAAAACGTTACATTACATAGAAATGCCCCAGACCATTGGTTCCCAAAGTGGGCGGCGCGGGCCATCTGTGTACTTAAGTATAAAAAACCTGCGACCGCGCTGAGAGAATGCATTCCAGACTGCTCGATACGACCAATAATAATCTTGACTGGAGCTCCATTCTTTACCAATAAATAATCTTGACAGGATCCCTGGGCGCGGAATTTTTTGTATTGTCCAAAGGAGGCGCGTCTCAAATAAGTTTGGGAACCAATGCTCTAGACTATACTCACCTTATGGGAGAATAACTTTTTGGTACCTGTTAATAAGTAAATGCAAATGAAAATAATTAATATTTTTCAGGTATCACTTCTATTTTTCGAAGTTTTACGAGAAATATGAAACACTCAACACGCCGAAGGAGACTGGACCTATTTACACATATCAAGAGGTTCGTTTTTACCTTGTTGATATTAAACCATTATAAACCCATAGGACGATGCTTAATTTTGGGTCTAGAAATAATTCACGAATAATACCTATCCTATGGACAAACTTGACCTTCACTGGTTTGGTTGTTATTGGTGGTCAAGCTGTAGATCCTGGCTACACAGGAGTTGCAGCGGTGGTACGCGAGGTGGGAAGAGTCCCGTTATCCCAACTAATATTATAAATGCGAAAGTAACTCTGTCTGTCTGTCTGTCTGTTACGCTTTCCCGCTTAAACCTCGCAACCGATTTTGATGAAATTTGGCATAGAGATAGTTTGAGTCCCGGGAAAGAACATAGGATAGTTTTTATCCCGGTTTTTGAAACAGGGACGCGCGCGATAAAGTTTTTCTGTGACAGACAAAATTCCACGCGGGCGAAGCCGCGGGCGGAATGCTAGTCCTATAATATAATTATAAGTTGAAGAGTTTGTTTGAACGCGCTAATCTCAGGAACTACTGGTCCGATTTAAAATATTTTTTTTGTGATGGATAGCCCATTTATCGAGGAAGGCTTTAGGCTACATAAAATCAAAATCAAAATCAAAAATATTTATTCAGTTTAGACCACAAGTGGCACTTATGAACGTCAATAGAAAATAATAAAAAAAAATAACATCACCCTACAACCAATAGGGGCGGAGCAGTAAAGAAAAATGTTGCAAAAACGGAAATAATTAACGGGCAAAGCTAGTTTTCTTATAAAAAACTCATTTATTTGTGCAAATAGTCTTTTAAAAAGCACTTTTACACCTCCCAGTATTAACCCTACCACTGCTTCGGGACAATAAATGGGCCAGTGCTGAGAAGAAGCAGCGCAAGAAACTCAGTCACTATTGTCAGCCTCCTTTTCAAGGGTTTACAGTCTTTAAAATATACAAATTATAGTCGTAAGTTGATGCGAGCTAGGCAGTTAATCATGCCAAAAATTTTTGTCTTTTATAGTATAATTTTATTTATTTACTTACAGGCCATAGATACACTTAAGAAGAAACGCGACCTAACCGATGAGTTAGCTGCCGCCACACTGGAGAGAATATCAGAACCGGTCTGCAAGCATATGATTAGGTAATACTAATTTAAGAATTTAAGAACGCATCAATCTTATACAGGCTATCATTTTGTAATGCCACGTGAAGAGAAAGTACTCTTAATACTATTAGAGGCCGGTAGATCTATTCTCATAAATAAAATCTTTCACACTATAATATTGCCTTAGTTTAAATACAATTCATCACTTAGCACAAAAGCGCGCGGAGTCGTCACCGCGCGTCCCTCTATACTCACGTTTGATTCTAGTGTGACATTGACATTACGTCAATGTCACTATGACAACAGCTCATTGGCCACAACGATACCGTTATTTTAGTTTTAGATTTTTTCACAATTAACAATACCTACTGTAAATAGAAGATTTTATTCAAAGAAAAGATTCCCTTATTTTTTTAAGGAAAGAGAACTGCATTTAACAATTTCCGAAAATTCGCTTGCCACACCTGGGATTTTTATTTATTTATTTGTAATAGGTATACAAACAGTTTACAGTCTAGGCTTCATCGATTTGCCATATCTAAGTTTAAAAAAAACTAAATTCCACTACAAACTAAATTACACTCAAAAACTAACGTCCACTGCTGCTGGCAGGGTGGATAAAAATCACGATGTTTTTATTTTAATCAAAAAAATCAGATTTTTTTTTAAAAAAATCGCGATTTTTTTGATTAATTTAATTTTTTTGATTTTTATTAGGTTCTGCGATCATTTCTTTAGTTTTTCTTACGGAACACATTTTTATTTACGTAGAATTGATGTATGGAGCAGGCAACACCGCCAAAAAAATTTATTATGTGGTTATCTGAAAAATCGCAAATGTGATTGTATGGAAAAATTAAATTTTTCAGATTCTCCATACAAAACGACAATTTCATACATTAACACCTAATATTAACATTGTTTTCGAACATTACAGTTGATTAATATTAACTCCCAGCCTTTCATTAATTCCATTTTCGGTCATTGATTTAAATAAAAATAAAAATAAAATAAAAGGTATTTATTTCAGGCATAGCCCATAAAAGTGTTAGTAACAAAGNATAACACATATTTTTAATAATGGTAATAAATTTTTAGGTCAGTTTTTTTACGCTCCTGAAAAGTTGGCATTTTTCACTTGCGTACTTATTCCAGGAAGGGTGCGATTTGGTCAAAGCTAAGTCCATCTGACGGCCATTACTGGACCCGTCAAATCTACATCTAAATCTAAAGAATTCGATGGATTGATCAGAGAGCGGTCACCAAAGATTTTGGAGAAATATATTGCCGCGATTTATTTGGGAGCTGGCGTAAGTTATGAGCATTTGGAACAAGTTTCCTGAGAGTTTTGTATCCACAAATGAATAAAATAGAGCATAGAAGCGATGCATTTAGAATTTCTAATTTTATTTCTACACATTACGGGGAAATCTTGCAGGTCAAGGTGTCTCTCATCTCACCTGATGGAAACTGATGATCAGGACGTCGCGACAAGGTTTTTCCGTGCTTTTAAGCGATTTTGTGAAAAATATTATTGGAGCTAATAGCTCATAAGATAGCCCCCCCCCCTTAATTAATGTTAATTGTCTGTGGTGCATATCTTTTTCATAAAGGTTACTAAACCTTTGTTTGTCACCTGTCATCCGCTTGCAACGGAGGGAAGTCGAACCTTAACTTTGAACTCCTCCTATGTTCTTCTGATTAATTTCGTTGCGGGTTCAATGCCAGTTTAACTTTCCACAGGACAAACTTGACCTTCACTGGTTGGGTTTTTATTGGCGGTCAAGCTGTAGATCCTGGCTACACAGGAGTTGCAGTGGTGGGAAAGAGAGGTGGGAATAGTCCCGTGATGATCAGACCAAAGCAAGCTTATTTTCAAAATTCCAATCACAGAGGAACTGTCTATCATGGTTGTTATGCCAACGGATAAGAAGGTGGTAGTTAGCCAGCCGAAAATAAAATGAGCTCTACTTCCAAATTAAGTACAAAATATTACCCCCACTAGGAATTCAGGGCCTCTGATTCTGAAACTGTGGTCATACCACTAGAACAGAGAGGCGGTTAATCATTTGTACAATCTAATAAGTTAAAAGTTAAAAATTTTAGTTAAAAAATACAATAAATTGTATTCCCACTAACCCCCCGGACTAGTATTTAAGTTTTTTAAGTGGGGCTCTCCCTGTCAGACGAGCAGGGTCTACCCAGTAAAACCTGACGGTGTCCTCCAAAGTTTAATGGGTCAAACTGCGAGTTATTCTCCCGCTACCTCTCATGCCCCATTCCCTCCCCATAAAAGGGTTGGAGTAATGTCACAAGGTCGGACGGTGTATTTTATTTGATTGCATGTCAACCGACAGCGTTAGGGCTTATGTTTTACAAATATTGGCCCTAGGACGAGCCAATTGATGAGGGTAGTTGACATTTTTATTCTGAAAAGTGGGCTTTCAAGATGGCGCTCTTACTTTTGGGGGGTTATGAAATTGGAATAGGACGGACTGACGATTGGTTTATGTTTTCCGTAGGCGATATTACAGTAAGTCTTTTGTGCGGGTTGTCTGTTTATAAATCAAGAGATGGCGTATAAATAAGCAATTTTGTATAATAATAATGATGATGCCTCCCAACAATTTAAGTAATTTTTTATTTTAGTATTTTTAATTAATTAATCAATCTTCGGGCGCAACAAAGACATTTTTTGCCAATCGTTTCATCATCAGAAAATGCTTACATTTTTTCCAAACCACAAAAACCAGCAAATTTTGATGACGTAATAAATAAAACACTCAAGATTTTTCTCGTTGAGTGCCCAATCTCAACCTTCAAACACGAAATACAGCCAACCACATCAGGGTAAACTCAAGCCTCTTATGTACAGGTAATCAGGGGTTATTTTGCAACAATTCCTGATGGACTGACTGTACAGGAGATCAAAACATCGGATACTCATCTGTACAGTACTTCACAGAAGTGGCTACACGCGACCAATTATAACTGTAGNCTCTCCCTTTCTCCCCTCTCTCCCTTTCTCCCCTCTCTTCTCTTCTCCCCCTTCTCCCTCTCTATCCCTCTTGCACCTCTCTACCCTTTTCCCTCTCTCACCACTGTTCTCTCTCTCGTTTCTCCCCTCTCCCGTTTCTCCCCTATCTCCTTTCTCCCCTTTCTCTTCTCTCCCTTTCTGCCCTCTCCCTTTCTCCCTCTTTCCCCTTTCTCCCCTCTATACTCTTCTCCCCCTTCTCCCCTCTTTACTCTACTATTCCTCTCCCTTTTGCACCTCTATCCTCTCTCTCTCTCCTGAAGCTGGTGACGCGCCCCCCATTCTCCCCGGACTCTCTCCAGTCGCTGTTCACGAGCATCCCCACCCCCACGCTGTCTATTATCGCGGAGCAGTCCATAGACAACGGGAGATACGACCGGGCGCTGTTCAAGCTGGACGAGAAGGCGTTTCCACTAAAAAACTATAGGTGAGTGTCGCTTTGAGTCTCTCTACTTTTCTTCCTCCCCTTTCTACCCCTCCCCTTTCTCCCCTATCCCCTTTTCCCCTCTCCACTTTCTCCATTCCTCCCCGTCTTCCCTTTTTCCCCGTCTTCCCTTTCTCCCCTCTCCACTTACTTCCCTCTCCCCTTTCTCCATTCCTCCCCGTCTTCCCTTTCTCCCCTCACCACTTACTTCCCTCTCCCCTTTCTCCCCTCTCCCCTTTCTGCCCTCTCCACTTTCTCCCCTTTCCCCTTTCNTTTCCATTTCTTCCCTCTTCCCTTTCTCCCCTCTCCTATTTCTTTCTCCCTTTCTCCCCTCCCCACTTCTTCCCCTCTCCATTTTTTCCCTGTTCCCTTTCTCCCCTCTCCTATTTCTTCCCTCTTCCCTTTCTCTCCTCTTCTCTTTCTCCCCTCTCCGCTTTCTCTCTCTTATATTAGTCTCTCTGTGCGCCTTCATAAACATATTAATACGTGTCTAGCATAATAAATAAGTACAGTAATAATTTACAGATAAGGAGACATGTAAAGTGCCCCATAAGGGCTACCTTTTCTTTTTATTGTTTGCTATATTTGACGTTCATAAGTGCCACTTGTGATCTAAACTGAATAAATATTTTTGATTTTGTTTTTAATTCCTTGTAAAATGACCCTTATTTCCTTGTCCACAGGGTCAGAAGAGTGGAAGGTGGTCATGACGTGCATCTTCTAAACCCAGAGAGACTCGCCGGATTCGTGTCACAGTTCTTACTACACGGGCTTGAAGGGTTAGACTCTAAGGCTAAGTTATGAAGAACATTGGGGTAGGAAATTGTAATAATAATATTTATTATACAAATGTTATGGAGTATTTGGTAAGTTGGCACTTGGCGTTAGTTTTCAATTTGCTGTAAAATCTCTTTAAGGACTTATCTTTTCAATCGTCGGTAAACTTTTAACTGAAGAATAAGTTTCGCAAAATGACAAGGATATTCTTCATTTAAGAGATATCCGACGATTGAAAAATCAGCCCTAAAAGCAATAAAAAATTGTTAGTCAATTGAGTGACTGAAAATCTAAGAGATTCATGTTTGAAAGCTCATAAAAAAGAGGTTGATTTTATAGTAAAATTATTTTAAAAAATCACATTAATTAATTAGATTTTTTCCTTTGTGTTACATGTCAGTGTTACCATTTATTATTATAAAGTGATGTATAAAACGTTGAAAATCTTATTCTGTTTTAAAATAATATAATTAGACACATTCCGAAATGTTAATAAATTGGTGCATTTAAAAAAAATGTTGAAAGTTTAGACTGGACAATAAATAAAGTCAACAAAAACATCTCAACAAACAACAAAATTGCCTACTATCCGTTCGCGATAAGTTTGCCGCTGGCGATATGACGTCACTCGAAGAAAAACGTCTATAACTTTAACAAACTATATTTAAAATATTTTTTATTTATTATTATTGATAAAAATTGTGTATTTGCGTAAAATAAGACACATTAATAACTGCGTTTAATCGCGGTTGGAAGAAGGGACGCGCATTCCACGGACCGGAAAACTTAGCGCGAACGGGTAGTACAAAAATGTTGAATGTTGAGATGTTTCTGTTGATTGTGTAGGGCACAACAAGCGCTTGAGACCCGTCTTAAGAAGCGTCTTTAAAGCTGTGTACCTGACACATTTATAAATATGAACAAAAATAAGTATCAAAGAAGAGGTAATTTAAGAGCCATTTCACAAAAATATTCCGCGCGAATTTAGGTAAAAGCTGTCAACGCAACGTCAAAAGAGTAAAAAGAACGCTGAAATGGACAAAAAAATCTTGAGCCGTGACCGTATTAAGACTTGATTTAAGTTATTAATTTTAAGGTAGAATGAGGTATTCAAACTTGATTAATTAATTTAAATTTTTAATAGAGTTTATTAAGTCTTTTATATTTCGATTCATAATGAAACACGAATAGGTATAATATGTAAAATATATATTAAGTATAAAATAAAGACAGTCACATAGTGAAAAATAAATCTGCCCCCTTACAGCTCCATCATCGGACCCTGGATACGAAATATTCGTCAAGGCGAATCACACAAGCCTTAACTCCATAGGGTTCTATTGTTTTGTTACGGAGGTGGCCATTGCATCTTCTCCAGATCCATTATCAGACAGAGCTAAGAAATAAATAAATAAATATTATTATAAGTAAACAAATAACTAAAATAATTCATCTTACTATCTTACTTTTTACTAGTCTTACTAATATTATAAATACGAAAGTTTGTGTGGATGTCTGGATGTTTGTTACACTTTCACGCAAAAACTACTGAACAGATTTTGATGAAACTTTACAGTACAGTACAGCAGTACTAGGCAGTCTGTGTTCAACTATCACTCGGGTCGGACGTTCCTATCGCAAGACCTTTGGTTCACTCAGTTCCGATACGACTCTAGTGCTGTGTGTAATTATTTTCGTGAATACACTGAGTTTATTAATTTCTACGAGTGGATTTCATTTTGCCTGAGACCTACGCCATGAACCCTGAACCAGAAGACCCTGTCGCCAGCGACAGCGACGCTCATCCATCCCTGGCGTCGACCAGAATTACAATGTATAGGCTATAATTTATGACGATCTGTGACAAACTAAATTTCAAGCGGGTGAAGCCGCGGGCAATACTACATATTTCATACTAGCTTTTTGCCCGCGACTTCTTCTGCGATGAAGTGGAAAATGGTTCTAATAGAATTAAAATATTCTAAGAAAATTAATTTTGTTAAATGATTATATTTTTTGATATAAAATCTACACATCATTATGTTTAAATATTTGAATACTTACAAAATTATGAGATCTTTCTAAAACAAAATTAAAACACTACACCTGCCGCAGATTTCTTTGTAAACAATGTTTTTTTGTTTTTCCTTCAGGTGCTAAAATCACCAGGCTATTGTGTGCGCATACTCTGGAGTATTCCACATACAACTGGTCGTCGGAGAAGCATAGATTTCCATTAAGTCTACTCCCGCTACCATATGGAACTCCGCTAAAACTCGTGAGGGCGCCAACACTTGCTTTTGTATCGAAAATTAGTATGAGCAGCTGCGCACGCGGTTGCCCGTTGCAGGCTCTATGCAACCACACTATTTTAAACCGTGGTCCCTAAGCATGAGATGGGAAACTGCACTCTCTTGAATTCTCTTGAATTTGATGGTGTTAGGGGAATCCTAGGAATGAATACAGACTTTCCAATGGAATCTCCTCATCAATATTGCGAAATTGCGAGTTGCAATGCAATGTTACGTTTTCACTTGTTATTTTATTGTAATCTGACCTTGATTTTTCAAACACGTGTCAAAATAAAAAAAATAATTTAAATCAAAAGTACTAAGGAATATTTCATTGATATCAACTTAGAAACAAGCACAGATCACAGAAACTAAAGGGAAATGTGACAAGGGACAAATTGGAACATATTGCTTGTGAAAGCAATGATGACAGTAGCGACGTCATTATGTAAACAGTTTATATTGCTTGCATAGTACTAAAGATTATTCGAACGTTGAATACTGATACCGCAATGGATAATGAGCACATAATTTGATTTCTTTGTGTGTGTGAATTTCTAATACGACACTGAGTTTCGAACTCAGCGCATTACTTAGCATCTCTCTATATTTCTATGGAACCAAGTTATCTCCAAAATAACATTCCACACCTTTTTAACCTAGTCAGGTAATAATTTTAATAAAATACGAAGCACGTCATCTATCAATAGGATATATGTATATTTTAGAAGTTAATAAATTATGCATAAAATATAAACACTTTAGAAGTTTAGTTAAATCGTAGAATTTCTGAAAAACAAGTACTAAAATCGTACTGAAAAAAAAAGTATTAATATGTTATCTAATTTATTTATTAAACGTCGAATTTTATCAAAGATTTTGGACTAAAGTTTTTGAAAATATTTTATAGCCAACATAGAAAAAAATTAGGATTCTAAATCGTGAAAGAAATTTTTTTCGGAGCCTATTGCCTCCAAACAAACAAACAAACAATTAAATCTTTCCTCTTTTATTAGTATAGATTTAACAACAGAACAAAACGCTTCTTTTTCTTCTTCACGAAACAAAACTCAAAGCGGATAAATAAATAAACAAATCTTTGGACAATTTCACAGCGCCATCTAGTCCAAAAGTAGGCAACCAATATGCTTGTGTTAAGGGTGCTATCATAATGGATATACTTTTTTATAATTTATTTATTAAATTAAATACATGGTACCTACATATTATACATAGTTACACCCAGATCCGTCAAAGAAATTAAAATTCATCATTTCAATTTCTGCTCGGCCGGCCGACTCGAAACAGCCTCTCGGCATAGTATCAAATGTATTTGGTCGCCGTACAAATCACCGCTTCACGACACGAACGCACGTAAACGTCACGGCGGGAAAAATGACACACGTCCTGCCTTGACGGGCGCTCGCGCCATACTAATCGATGTCGGCTTGCGCATTGTAATTTATACTGATATTCACATCAATATTTTGACAAAGTGGTTACTAATATTTAAACAATAACTGTAGAAATCAATTCTACAATGAATATTCTTTATTTTGGGATACTTTTATTGCAGTTATTGCTGTGTTTTTAAACCAAAAACCACGATCAAAATGTGACGTTAATCTTCAAATTTGCCAAATTATTTTTAGATTTTACTCAATAATGGTAATGAAATTCAAGAATCTATTTCATTAATGAACTACAAGAATATATGTCCGATGATTACTTTATATTTTTAAGCTTATTATATGAGCATAAATAATAGATACAGGACTTTGAAAATGAGTCTGCGGCAATTTTTTCGTAAAATGGTTGTGGGAGATGGGGCACTGTGAATTAAGCAAAACAGTTTTAGTAAATCCGTTTCATTAATGGTCAACAACAAGGATTGACCTATCTTTCGCAGTTATTAAATAATCTCTGGGGGTTGCTTAAGATAGTAATTCATGCTTCCAAAAACTTAGAAATTCGCACGAAAATGTAAAATGGCTCTTAACAAAAATGTGCCTTCTGGCTATATGGAAATCAAACAAACATAATTAATATTATTGACTGAAAAATCGCAATTATATTAACATTTTACTATATTTAGCTATGGTGATATGGATCAATATTAATTAAAACCAAAATATATTAAGTATTTATAAATAAAATAGTATTAAAAAATCAAATGTTATAAAATGTTTTTTTATAATAGTTAAGTTAATATTTTTTGTTTGGATTAAGGTTTTAAAATAATACAATAAATAATGTCCTATTTTATTAATTTTTACAGGTAACTAGGTAGGATAATCCCAACTAATATTATAAATGCGAAAGTAACTCTGTCTGTCTGTCTGTCTGTCTGTCTGTCTGTCTGTCTGTCTGTCTGTTACGCTTTCCCGCTTAAATCTCGCAACCAATTTTGATGAAATTTGGCATAGAGATAGTTTGAGTCCCGGGAAAGAACATAGGATAGTTTTTATCCCGGTTTTTGAAACAGGGACGCGCGCGATAAAGTTTTTCTGTGACAGACAAAATTCCACGCGGGCGAAGCCGCGGGCGGAAAGCTAGTAATACAATAAAAATAATGTCCTATTTTATTAATATTTACAGGTAACTAGGTAGGATAATTCTTTATAAATAGTTTCTGTTAATTTTGGTTTGAACAACGGCTCATGAATTGCTCATGAAGCCAAACATTGTGGTATCTTAAGTACTTGTAAAAAGGTCTATTTTGCGACAAAATGGGCTTATTCCACTAATCCCCGTTGACAATCCGCGTCAACNTACTTGTAAAAAGGTCTATTTTGCGACAAAATGGGCTTATTCCACTAATCCCCGTTGACAATCCGCGTCAACGGGGATTAGTGAACTTTTTGTTCACTATTCCCCGTTATATTAGGATTTTACTTTTAACATTATAAGCTCCAATTGGCGTTAACGGGGAGTAGTGAACAAAAAGTTCACTAATCCCCGTTGACGGGGATTGTCAATGGGGAATAGTGGAATAAGCCCAAAAATTTATAGTAGGTATGATGCGCTGCCGACTGCATTTATGTTTAAATCTGTGGTGGTTGTTTGTAAATATAAAGGTTAAAGGTTTATAATTTTGTTTTTTATTTTTACCCCAAATCAATCAACTCATTTTCTTATAATTTGGCATTAATACGAATGCTTTTCTTTGATTTATTTATTTTTTCTTGGCTTTCACCACATATCTGTGACTGTGGCTTTCACACTCAAAATTAACAAAGTGAGTGTATTTCGGACCGCGCCGTGAAATGACATTACACTCGAGTTTACGAATCCAGTCAATAATAATGCAAAGGATTATGTTCATTTCCGTACCGCGCGGGAATAACTTGACATGTCATTTTTGCGTACTTTTCAGGGGAGCGATTTTAAAGTTTAGAGTTCTCTGGTAAATCGGAATTAATGATAATTGATATTTTTATGATTGAAATAAGCTAATTTGATGCGTATGTTTCGATTGGCGTAAGAATTTGATGAAATTATCTTCTTAATCTATTAAAAAAAAAGACTTGTCAAGTTGTGTACCGACGACTTGTCAAGTTATTCACCAAAGAAAAACAAACTTTTAAGGTGTAAAAATTAGATTTAAGTTAATTATTTTGAATGAAGTTTAAGTAAAAAAACAAAACATAAAAATAGAACATATTTTTATCACTTTAGCAATGAAATAGTAACAAATTTATTAGAAAAATCAAATATAATCGCAGATTATGATTGCTTTTGATCAGATAATTGTACGTTTACGTAAAATTAAAAAAAAAGACAAATAAAAGAACAAAAGCCATGCTTCATAACAAGCACTATTAATTTTAATTATTTTAGGCTTACCATTAAGCTTAAAATAATTAAAATAAACTGGATATATTTTTGCGTAAGGTCGACACGCCCTTTCGCGTCCACCGTCCAGTTCACGTCCAAATGATGGATCACTCTAGAACGTAAGCTATTGCTATGATTCCCTGAATGTATGACAGGTAAACCCACATTAAAAAAAATCTTATAACATGCTACCGTTTTTGCCAAAAATAAATCCCACGTGAGCAGGTGCGCGTTTCAAGGTAAGTTTTTAATATATTTAGGTCTAGTTTGGGATTTACCACAGTCTCTAAGCCTTAACCATGAACCATACAATACGGATAATGTTATCGGTGATTGTACTTTATTAAATGACACTTAAAATAAGATGGATGCGAATTTACTACAATGAAATTTCCACTTTGCGTCAGAAGTGATCGCGGTCTGGTCTAACTGGGTCTAAGATATCAAAATATACAAAACAATGCATGTTTTATATTATTAAAAACGTTATTTACATGACTTATCGAACACAAAGTTTTTTTTCAGTACTTAGGCCTTTTCCTGGACGCTAATACACGCTCCAAATGTAGCTTACCCTTTGTGATAGCCAATTTGCGTCCACATTATCACGTCATTTTTTTAAATACAGACGTTGTAAATAATATTAAAAAGCAAACTGTGCCTAGAGAGGAGACCATATTGCAAATTGAGCCATACTATTGAAATTTTAAAAAATGAAATAAACTAAAATATAAATGTATGTTTATAATTATTAAGTGTGATACCTAAATATTTTGAATACCGATTAGTAAGATTTTATCTTTTTTTTTATTTCCATGCTGTTATTAATTATTAGTGATTTTGAATGCATTTTTTCTATATTATATTAATATTACAAAGATATTAAAACTTCTAATGGTTTAGAGCAAGTTTAATACTATACTTATAAAGACTAAAGGGAGCATAATGACAACAATTTTTCGTTCAAAGTGATTACGAAAAATTGTATATTATTTTTATTCCTCAAATCTATCAACTCACTAAATGGACGAGATCTGGCGTATCGACCCTACTTACCTCATCATTATTCCTAATTAATGTCATTGATGTCAATAGACTATAAAAATATCCGGAAATTAAAGTTGACCTAAAAGTTTATTATTAGATTTTTTACTTATATTCGGTTGTCAAACGAAATCTTAGTCTGTTATGAAAAAACATTAGTAGATAGTACCTACCTATTGACTAAACTTATCCTTCTACTTTCAACTTGCTATTTAAACGTTAATTTAGTTTTAAACTATTGAAAATAGTAATAAAAGTAATATTTAACGCTTAAATATATTAAAAATACATTTTTAGGGGTTGCTAAGTAAAAAATATTTAAAGACACTCGAAATCCTGACAATGTTATATTTTAAAAACTGCTAATGACACATATAAAAATATGATTATACGAATTTAATAGCTGGATAACTCCAAGTATCCAAACTCTTGACAGTGTGCATAACTAGACAACTGCACATATCATGGATATGTTTAGTAGGTACTCAGAGGGGATCATAACTTGATAACTGTTTTTGTCAAATTAAAAACGAAAATCCATAAATGTATATGTCGAGATATTAACAAATACATGTTCCGACATACATTGATAAATCGAAATATAAATGTTTGTACGAATAATATTAATTGGATATATCGTTATGTCAAATATTTATTGCCCAAATTAGAGTTATTTACTTATGAACAAGAGCTGTATTTCAAGTATTTTTGGGTATTTCGAGTTGAGTTTTTTATACCAGAAGGGTATAAGGTAGAGGAAACGTTTAAGCTAATAAAAAAAAAAGTGCATGTCGAGATGTCAAGTTATTCCCGCGCGGTACGGATTTATGTTTAAAAACTTTCTACCCGGCGGCTTTGCTAAGCTCGCGTGGACTACAATCTCTTGATTTTCTAAAACTTTTAAAATGTTAGTGCTAATAATTTATTTTATTTACAACTAACTTGCTTGAACGACTCATCCGCTAAGTAAAATTTTACCGGCTTCGTAAACGTGACATGAAAGCTAATGTCAAAAATTTCAAAACAGTGCAGTGCTAAAATTTATCTAAAAACTAGAAATTGTAATAAACTGATATATTATTATGACATCATCAATTACTTATTAATCTCAAGGTATTGTCTCAATAATTAGAAATTGAGTAAATCGCTTTTTCCGTAAATAAACATGAGTCAGCTTACGTTACTCAACTTTCGCCGATTTTAATGCGTTTTACGTTTTTATTCAACCTTTAGTTTCATTTTATGTATTTTAAGAACAATTTCAGGATGTAAGTTATAAGTAAATTGCGATTAATTCGATATAAAATATGTAAAAGTTTAACTTGTTACTAAGTTAGGTTAGATTCTCAAAATGAGAGTGAAAATAAATTAAAACTGTTATTACTACCATAAGGTACTTCAAACAGTCAATAACATCTATTTAGTACCATAATAAATGTCTACATCATAAATATTAGTCGGCTTGTGTGAGATGAGATGTGATTTCTAGTTCATCTGAAAGATTTTTAGGCACTAAAGCTAAGTCTATATTATCAAATTTTACAGAATTCCTACTAGAAGTGTGCTATTATTTTACCTTCAAACTATTAACCCGACCATTGTAAGCAGTCTAGTAAACTATTTTCGGTTTTCAGGTTCTAATTATGTTACACTTATAATATTTCAATGTTTTCAGATGGCACTTTACACTAAGCAAGATTTCTCCCCTCCAATCCTGTCAAGGAGATGGATTGCTATGAAGTTTAGGCCCAATATGGTAATCATTTGTAATTAAAAACGTAATTTTTCTCTTTTAAATACAGACAATTATTACCAGTTTTTTCCGCTAGGGGTAGCTTCACTTTTACTTTCTCTGCCTAACTGCACTGAAGTGAACACAATAGGTTTACCTACACCACAACCATAACATCACACAGTCATGGTTAATTGTTATTCATATACTGATGATATTCTATCTAATACCTTAACTTTTTAGTTTATTTCACTATTGTAATTTTCTTGAGTTATCAAAGTAACATTTTACAGATTTATTAACCCGGCGCCAATGACGTGAAAATAATTGCAAAGACGATGACCCCGGGTCATATTGACCCATATTTCATCGATCATTTTTCAGGAAATTGTACAAGTAATCTTAATTTTAATTACTGTCTATGTATATAGGGTTCTTTACTGAGCTAATAAAACAAAAATAAAACGAATACATGAAATAAATATTTTTTTATGAATTTTTAAACAAAACATGAAAAAATCACGTATAGAAATACATTTAAGTCTATATTTGTTGTTTTTGGTAAAGATTTTTAGTATAAATGGGAATCAACAATGTTATATAGTGAAAAAGAGATAAAATCAACTTTTTATATGCAGATACAATGAGATCAGTTTTCTACTTCATCATTCAGAGCCATGGAACTGCTGCAACTGGTGCAGTATGTAATCAAATGGTCTGGGCATGTAAATGTGGTATGACGCACTTGCCGGCGTCGTACTAATGCAAGTTCGAGATTAGCCGAAGACTGAGTCCCCATTACTTGCGTCTTTTTCACATTCGTTGCCATTTTTAAGTTCTGGCTATTACAGCCTGAAATTCTTCAATTTCGGAATCCGACTCTTCCAGCAACGCTACATTCTTGCTGGGTCATTTAACAAAGACAGTTTGACTAAAACTTAAAAAAGAACAACATAACTAGCACTAAACACAAAATAAGCGAATAAAAGTAAGTCACAAAATCACCGCGCCACCGATGACGCCGGGTCATAATGACCCGTTTTAATTTGAAGCCTGTGTATCTCGCTACGCAAGCGGAGTCACAATACGTTAACTAACGGAATGGATTTAGGGAGGTTCTATCTCCAGCTATACGAACGCTCGAACCACAAAATGGACGCAAAAAAAAATTATGAACGTTTGAAAATGCCTCGGGTCAATATGACCCAGCGTCATTGACGCCGGGTTTTACAAATGTTTGCAAACACCCACTGTGATGTAATTGAGTTCTGAATTTGCATCTGCCTAAACAACAGTTGACTGATAGAGAAGGTCTGTTGGCATTAACTCGTGGTTTAAATGAAATCAAATCAAATCAAAATCATTTATTGCATAATGGAGGTACATATCTAGGTCACATAAAAATTTATATTGTTCAGCTACATCATACCATATCAGCATGCAACAGAATCAATTTTTCGTGATTCAAGAAATTAAGAAATTATACAAAAAAAATCTTTATTAAGATCTTTATTTCTAACAAAAATTGTAAAAATTCACTTGATGTGGGAAGATAACAATATTTTAGTAAAAAAAAATAGCAATATTTATGTGCATAAATGTGTAAGTAAATATTAATGAAATGACATCATCTCTTCCAGCTAATAAACAACCGGCAGCACATCATTTCGATCCTCGAGAGCGGCCTTCTCTTCCGAGAGGACAGCGTAGAAGTGGAGCAGGAGACTCCCTGCCCTACTGCGGTGTGGAGCGCCGCGGGGGGGCGCCGAGGCGGTTGGCTCACGGGAGGAGAGGGGGCCGTGTCTTTGACTGCCGTCGCTGTGTGCGTGGCTGCCTTCCCGCCGAGACAGTGAGTGTTTTTGTCCATTTTTCTACTATTTAAATAGCCTACCACAAATTTTGCTGCCACATTAAAGAAACCACAAAACAGTAAGTATAGCCTGACCAGGAACATAAAAACCCTCGCCATGTTGCGGAAAACTAATGGTACTAATTTCTTTTAATGGCAACAGTAACTGAAAACTTCATTGACATGTCACCTTGCGTGTCAGTCTATTGCTGTCAAAGTGTAAACAAACTTTATTTTATATGTGCGCAATTGATTTTGTGAATAAAATTGCTAAAATCTTTTTATAGTCTTTAAAGAAAAGTGGTTCACAATATGTTAAAGTATTTGTCGAAGAGAAATATTAAGGGTTCGGACAATATTTTCATTGAATAATGTTTCCGACAAAGATCGTCAAATTGACTGACATGTTTATCGTATAGTACAGTCCACTATGAAAATTAGCTGTGGTTTGTTTCAACTACCTATTTTTAAAAAATTTGTCACTTTCTAAGTGTTGAATTTTATGGAATTGGGAAAGAAGTACCGAGTTTGCAGCGTTCATGAGCAGACATTGCAGTTGAATATTCAAGTTCTGAATTTGATTATTGATGAATAATAAAATAAATCCTACTAGCTCGATTGATAATTTCATTTTATTTATTTAAACCAGGTTACCTATAATAATATTTTTTCGTTAATTTATAAAAATATCAAATTAGCCCGTAATCCTGAATCCTGATACATAAAGTTAGCTTATTAATTTAACACAGGTATGACTGTACTCAGTGTTGCAATATCAAATGCAATTGCCGCGCCTCTATGCCAGGGTTTTTATGTTCCTGGTCAGGCTATATGTACTATGATAAGAATATGTAATTTTTCCAACCATAACACTATTGTCCTATGTGCGACAAGCGCGTGATACGATACGACGCGACGCGAAGAAAAGTAGTCATTGTAAGTAGTGTCTTAGACGAGAAGTACCTAGACGGGGGTAATTGTTGCGTTGGAGTATTTTTGGATCTCCAGAAAGCCTTCGACACTGTATCTATCTCGCTATTATTCGCTCAGCTAGAGAGTTCAGGTGTTAGATTAGAGACATAGTACATACACTCTTGGTTCTAAGACTTGACACGTCGACGTCATATTGTGAGCGTAGATAAGTATCACAGCAAGTCTGCTCCATGTAACTACGGTGTCCCGCAAGGCAGTATCCTCGGTCCAACACTATTCTTAATTTATATTAATAAATTATAAGTGCGTGGCTGCCTTCCCTCCTAGACAGTGAGTGTTTTAAGTCTTTTCTTGAGTTTTTAAAATAGATGGCAGTCTGTGTTTCCAACTTTCCACACATTAGAGAATCCACAAAACAGTAAGTTATAGGATAAGCATTTATTGCAAAATCACCCCAATCGCAATTGCATAAGGTGCCACGGTTTTTACCTTAATGTGTCTGTAAAGTTACAGTTGTAGCGCATACATTTAATACTGTATCTCATGTTGATAGCCAAATAAATAAATAACTAAGTCAAGTGCCTGAGGTATGAGAGATGCACGGGAGGGTGTTTTTGTGACGTCAAACGTCGGCGAGACTTAAGATGTACTCAAAATGTTCTAGTATATAATATTACTAGCGACCCGCCCCGGTTTCTCACGGGTGCTAAGGGGCCATCCATAAAGTACGTCACACGAATTTCATGATTTTTTGACCCCTCCCCCGTGCTTGTCACAGGTGGTCACATTTCTGAGACCCCCCCCCCCCCTCCATAGTGTGACGTCACAAGTTTTGCAATTTCACATCGAAAAATTATTAAATTAACAAATAAATAGCAACAAATAGAAACAATAAAATCACGCGCGAGGTACGGTGCGTTTAGCGGCATTATAGGCCAGTAGAATTAGATTTTAAATCTGAAATAATTCCTACAAAAGATTTTATTGATTTAATGGCTTCATTGGTTGCCCATTAAGACTCTCCTAGGTTTTCGACTTCGACGGAGTTGTGCTTAAGTGATGGGGGTATTTTTTAGTTTAATTTATATTTCAAATTACGCGATTAGTACCTCTAGATATATTAGATTTTGAAATGTGATGTCACGAAACTTAGGACCCCTCCCACCCCTTGTCACACCATGTCACACTTTGTCGACCCCCTCCCCCCCTCTTTACGTGTGACGTACTTTATGGATGACCCCTAAACATACCATATAAACCTTCCTCTTGAATCACTCTATTTAAAAAAAACCGCATCAAAATCCATTGCGTAGTTTTAACGATCTAAGCATACATAGAGACAGACAGCGGAAAGCAACTTTGTTTTATACTATGTGGTGATTTGTATTTGTTCCAGCCTCAACCGCTCCGTACTGCTCAACATAGCGGCCTACGTCAGCATACCAGTGGCAATCCGAGCTGTGCACCGGGCGCTCATTCGCGGTTCGCTCGCGAGCCTGCTCGCGATCATGCGCGATTACCTTGCGCTCGCTCGCCGAGCCGCCGCGTGCTTGAAGGAATACGCTGCGCTGCATGCTCAACTGTGAGTATAAGTTATTCCGTTTGCCTCTTGGTATAATAGGGCTCCTCCAAACATAGCTCATAAAAGTTATTTTGTGCCAAATTGCTCGCGAATACGAGGCACTGCACGCTTAGATGTGTACGTGTACGAATGTTCGCGCGCTCGGGTGTTCTCGTGTACTATCTAGTGTTGGCGAAGCCAAACTCGATGCGATTCCGCCGTTTCGTTTAGGAGTTCCTATGGCCACCTTCAGACTCCATCATCACACCAGCTCAATGGTACCATAACATTGCATTGTCATCGTACTTACATAAGTAATACCAAATTTCAGCTCAATCGGTTGAGGAAAACTGGTCTTATATTCAGTTGCACGATTGTCCTACACATACTAACAAGTGAAGTCAAATAAAAGCTTGTGAAAAGGCTACTTGTTCTGCATAATGTTTTTTTTTTACTGCTATAATGTGTCCTGAGTCTTTAGGGCCCTTTTACGCCTCTATTTTTGCCCTAGTGGCTCAATATCGTCCGCCATCGAGAACACCCGCGCGCTCCTGTGCCGTCAGCAGCGATCATTGGATCTGCTTCTCTCACGAGCATCGGCGGCGCTGCTCGGCAACGCGCCGTGACTGTTATAGTATAGGAGACTGCTATGAATGTGCCTGAGTCTTTATAGCATCCTGTCATGGCTATACTCTCTTTTAGCGTGTCAATATCTTCCGTCATTGATAAAACTAGCGCTGTGTTATTCCGGTAGCCCTCGTCGCTAGCGCTGCTTATCTTTTTACCCATTATTTGCACTGGGCTGCTCATTTAAAACAGGATTAGTAGTGTTGAGTAATTTTGATCCAACAGAAGTCTTAAGAGTCCACTCAAAACTATATACTCTCTCCTAGTGGCTCAATTTCGTCCGCCATCGAGAACAACACTTTTTGTGTCTAGTTGCTTCTACATGTGTCTCAGTATTATTAGTAGCGTCTTCTCTCATGGCTTTATTGTCTTCTATCCAGTGGACTGTTATAGTATAGGAGACTCTATGAATGTGTCTGAGTCTTTATAGCGTCCTGTCATGGCTATACTCTCTTTTAGCGTGTCAATATCGTCCGTCATTGATAAAACTAGCGCTGTGTTATTCCGGTAGCCCTCGTCGCTAGAGCTGCTTATCTTTTTACCCATTATTTGCACTGGGCTGCTCATTTAAAACAGGATTAGCATAGTATTGAGCAATTTTGATCCAACAGAAGTCTTAAGAGTCCACTCAAAACTATATACTCTCTCCTAGTGGCTCAATTTCGTCCGCCATCGAGAACAACACTTTTTGTGTCTAGTTGCTTCTACATGTGTCTCAGTATTATTAGTAGCGTCTTCTCTCATGGCTTTATTGTCTTCTATCCAGTGGACTGTTATAGTATAGGAGACTCTATGAATGTGTCTGAGTCTTTATAGCGTCCTGTTATGGCTATACTCTCTTTTAGCGTGTCAATATCGTCCGTCATTGATAAAACTAGCGCTGTGTTATTCCGGTAGCCCTCGTCGCTAGCGCTGCTTGTCTTTTTACCCATTATTTGCACTGGGCTGCTCATTTAAAACAGGATTAGCATAGTATTGAGCAATTTTGATCCAACAGAAGTCGTAAGAGTCCACTCAAAACTATATACTCTCTCCTAGTGGATCAATATCGTCCGCCATCGAGAACACCCGCGCGCTCCTATGCCGTCAGCAGCGATCATTGGCTCTGCTTCTATCGCGAGCATCGGCGGCGCTGCTCGGCAACGCGCCGTGGCTCCGAGCGGACGTCGCTTGGGCGGCGGTGGCTGACGACGCCGGCAACGATTTGATGGTTAGTTGCTTTTACAAGCTTTTATAAGGCTCTGGCAAATACAGGGTGTCTCGTAAATCAAGGACAATTTTAAAACTGTGACAGCCTTTTATATAATAAATCAGTGATAAAACTAGCTAGAGCCTATTCGGGGTTATGTAAACGTTTAACGAATGTAGTGCCAATCATGAACACTAATATTAGCACGTTCTAAAACGTTCTCAGGTCTTTTATAGTACCAGATTTTGCTACTTGGGAACCTAACTACCACATACTCTATACATTATGGTGAAAAACGTTTTGTTCTATGACTTTTGCTGTATAAAAATAACTCGTCTTCCCATACAAAATCACAGAACCGATTGAATTTGTAAAACATGGAAATCATTGGGGGAGAGGGCTGAAATAAAAAATAAATATGCATGTTTAAAAGTCATAGAACAAATGTTGGTCACCTCGAATCCACGATGTATAGAATATGTGACAGGAAGGTTGTCCCCTATTTACGGGACACCCTATATATTGCCACCATAAATTGAACCTTATTCACCCATCAGAAGATCGAAAACCAATCAATTTTATTCGAACCGCATATTTATAGTATTAAGCGACTATGAAAGCTTATTTTTGAAAAATCATTCACATTTATTTATTTTGTGAATATTCAAATAACACTAACGAAATACTTTTGTCCACAGAAAATCCACCACGCGTTCTTAGTAGTCCAATCTACATTGCTAAAACACATCGCTATGGCTCATTTCATACCGCCAGTCCACGCTCAGAAGATATACAAAAACTTCAACGAACGAATCTACTGGATACACACAGTCCTATTGAGCCATTTGTACGAAGAATTCAAGCAAAACTACGAGGCTCTTGAACGCATGTACAGGTTGCTAAGAAACTTTGGAAATAACGATAGAAATGTAGTCAAAAAACCAGGGGCGGCCATGTTGGATAGTTGGGCGTACAGTGACATACACAACGGGGTTGCCAGAACGAATTTAGAATTGAAATTTGTGGGGAATAAGTGTGAAGCGTTAGATGTTTTTTTGGATTCGTGTGCATTGAATAAGCAAGAGTTAGATTTGACTGTATTGAATAAAGATATAGATGAAATCATTGATGATATCACTAAATGTTTGAATACAATGCAGAATTCGCAAATTAGGCTCAAAAAATTAAGAAATAAAGTCGATGGTTCAGAAAAAGAGGTTCGGATTGAAGAAAAGAGTCCTACTGACGATGAAAATGTTATTAAAATTGATGATAAAATACCAGAAGTTAAAGACGAAGTGTTCTACTTCGTCAAAACGGAGGACGATGACGTGGCAACACCGGCTGATGACGTCACAACCGGTCCAGGAAAGAAAGAGAAGGAAACAACGAAGATTGTCCTGAAAGAGCTGAAAAGAAAGCTGGGGAAAAGAGAGGACGTGATGAGGGAGAGAGAAAGGCAAGCGTTAGCCAAAACGATGCCAGAATTGAAAGATATAGTGCCAGAATTCCCTAGACAAATAAACTACGATGATTATATCGTAAAAAAAGGTTACATAACCAAAATTAAAAAGGATCCACCGAAAAAGAACTTATTTCGAAATTATAGGATAAGCAAAGGTGATAAAAAGAAAAAGTACGCGTTAAAAACCAAAAAGTATCAACGCGAAGATGAAATATCCAAACCTTTTTACGAAGCGAACTCCAAACTGAATTTAAAGAGCAAACTCATTTCTCTAACCAAAGAAGAATGTGACTATTGTGTAACGAAATGGTGTAAATATGTACCAGCGTTAGAAATACATAAAGATAAAGAACTTGATCCAATTTGTATGTCAGAAACAAGCGACATCGAGGCCGGTCCGGCCATAGACAACAACCAAGTCAACACAAACCATAGATTCCAAGTGAGCACATACAAATTCTCCAAAAGAGACTTAGAACTGTCACCTTCATCATCAGAGAGTGACTATGAGTTATACAAAGAAAAACAGCTGGCGTTACTAAAAGACATCAGAAGGCATAGAGCGACGAGAAAGAAGAATCATCCAACCAGAAGATCCATAGACAAGTCCACAGACAAAGAAGATGAGAGCCTGAAGCCCATAGAGTACAGTTTTGGGACAGGAATGGCGATGGCGTCAGTTTTGCAGATAAATAGTAAAGCGAAAATACCAAATCTGTCGCAAGAAGAAGTATTCATAGGAAATGGTGAGGTATCGACTGACAGCGGCAACGATGAGGATGCATAGACAAAATGTAATTTTGTGACGCTTCATAATGGTCTATTCCACTTTGATCACCTGGCTTTGATGACCCAGGTGATCAAAGTCCACTTCCAGCGACAATTTAGTGTCCTTTGATCACCCACGGATATGATGCCCTGGGTGATCAAAGTGGACTCCAGTTAAATTATTATTTTAGTGTCCTTTGATCACCTACATACAAATCACACCTTCGGCTACTTATTTATATTTCGTCGTCTTTAATGCGACGTCTTTTCAAAGATACTCATTTATTTTAATTTTACTACTGGTTTTTGTACGGTCAACAGCACGTCAACGTAAACACTGTGGTATCTTACGTAGTTGCGATAGGGGCGACTTTGCAACGAAAATGTGTAGCTTGATGTGCTGTCGACTGTACATTAATACTGTATATTTGAAGTCAAACAATTATAATATTAATAATATATCGTATTTTTATGAAAGCGAAAAAAATGTGTATTAACTTATCCAATAAATAAATACAAATCTCGTAAAGTCCACAGTATTGTGAATTATAATTATTATATTATGTACTTATATCTAAAATTATGTACATTTGCTTGCTATTTCTGATGAAGATGATTTATGTCAGACTAAAGTTATTCTGAATGCTAATGGAATGAGGGCTATTGTTTATACTTAACAGTTTGCACTACTGGCGATTGACATGACCCTGCTCTACAGTGGCGCCATCCTGGTGAGTGCAAATGCGAGGTCTATTCCACTTTGATCACCTGGCTTTGATCACCCAGGTGTTCAAAGTGGACTTCCAGCGACAATGTAGTGTCCTTTGATCACCCACGGATAAAATGACCTGAGTGATCAAAGTGGACTTCAGTTTAATTAATATTTTAGTTTCCTTTGATCACCTATAAATAAATTACATCTCTGAATAGTCACATACATGTCCAATTTGTTTGTTGCAGGTTTTAGAAAATATCAAAAATGTTATAAAACATAATTTGTAGTACAACTATTGGACATTGTTTGTGACTATTCAGAGGTGTGATTTGTTTGTTGATCAAAGGACACTAAAATAATAATTTAACTGGAGTCCACTTTGATCACCCAGGGCATCGTATCCGTGGGTGATCAAATGACACTAAATTGTCGCTGGAAGTCCACTTTGATCACGTGGGTGATCAAAGCCAGGTGATCAAAGTGGAATAGACCAAATGCGATAGTCCTCCTACCGCTTCATCGTTCACTAGTTGGCGCCACTAGCAAGTGACAGTGACCTTACTGTACAGGTCGATTCATCCACGAAGACGCGCCCCAGCAATTTTTGGTCTCGGTCGCGCGGGGTGCGGGGAGTTTGATCCGAGCAATCCGTAAGGCATTATTGTAGTGTGCGTGTGCACTCATGGATCATTTAGCGTGTACCGATAACACTCGAACATTAGCGGAAGAATGGTGGGGCGCGTCTTCGTGGATGAAGCGAACTATACAGTAGCGCCAACTGGTGAACAAAACGGGAGCACTAATTTTGTGAATTTAATGCTTGCAAAATTCCTTTTTTTGTATTTTTGTGTTATTATTTAATGCTGTATGTGTGTGATTGTAATATTTAAATCTAGTCTGTATTTTGTTTATCGCAATAATTAATGATGTGATAATTGTAAATAATAATTGAAACAATAATAAATTATGTTGATAAAGTTTTATGTTTATTTTCAACCCAGACAATAACCTGACCTTATCAGTAAGTTAATCTGCCAGATAACTTGTGATATATTTAACCGTCAGATAGTGAATAAGAATAAATTTATGATTGTACTAGCGGCCGCCCGCGACTTCGTACGCGTGGATCTCGTTTTACCCCCCCCCCCCCCTCCCTTCATCTATCTTAGGCGGTTCAGATTTTTTCATACAATTTTTTTTCCCGCTAACTCCCGTTCCCGTGGGAATTTTGCAATATCCTGTTGTAACTAAGCTTTAAGTTTACTAAGGTACCTGCATGCCAAATTTCAAGCGTCTATCTTACGCGGTTTAGATTTTTTCATACAAATGTTTTTTCCCGCTAACTCCCGTTCCCGTGGGAATTTTGCAATATCCTGTTGTAACTAAGCTTTAAGTTTACTAAGATACCTGCATGCCAAATTTCAAGGGTCTATCTTACGCGGTTTAGATTTTTTCATACAAATGTTTTTTCCCACTAACTTCCGTTTCCGTGGGAATTTTGCAATATCCTGTTGTAACTAAGCTTTAAGTTTACTAAGGTACCTGCATGCCAAATTTCAAGCGTCTAACTTAAGCGGTTTAGATTTTTCATACAAATGTTTTTTCCCGCTAACTCCCGTTCCCGTGGGAATTTTGCAATATCCTGTTGTAACTAAGCTTTAAGTTTACTAAGGTACCTGCATGCCAAATTTCAAGCGTGTAACTTAAGCGGTTTAGATTTTTCATACAAAAGGATTTTCCTGCTAATTCCCGTACCCGTGGGAATTCCTAAGTATCCTATAACCTGCCCAGGAGTATGAAGAATAATTGTACCAAGTTTCGTTACAATCCGTTGAGTAGTTTTTGTTTCTATAAGGAACATACAGACAGACAGACAGACAAAAATTTTACTGATTGCATTTTTGGCATCAGTATCGATCACTAATCACCCCCTGATAGTTATTTTGAAAATATATTTCATGTACAGAATTGACCTCTCTACAGTTTATTATAAGTATAGATAAAAACTTAGCCTAAACACGTACAAGTTTGAATACTACGTTGGGGCAGAAAAGTTCATGAATGGCGACCACGGGCCGGAAGACGTAGTGAAGGCAGCAATAAGTGGACCGACGATCGGGTGAAGGTCGCGGGAAGAACTTAGATGCGGGCAGCGCAGGACCGGTCATTATGGAAATCCTTGAGGGAGGCCTTTGTCCAGCAGTGGACGTCATTTGGCTGAAACGAACGAACAAAGTGAATTCTTAGGTGGAGCTTCTTCGCAGCATTTAATTTTGCCGTTTTGTTTAAAGTATTGCACAAATTACTAATTGTCCCATTAACCCCTCTTGGTAAGCTAAATATGCTTGTGTTAGGTACGAGTGGGTTCATACACAATAGTCGAGCGGCGGGGATCGAACCCGCGTTCCTCGGATCTCGAGTCGCCCCACTCATTTTATTGTACAGGGTGTCCCAGAATGGGTGAATCAAACTGCTAGGGGAGGTAGCACTACTAATGTACTATCCCTAAAAAATATAAAACCCATTCTGGGACACCCTGTATATAGGCACCTAGGTTTAGACAGTTTAGGTACATATACAGGATAAAATACTTGTATAAATAATGTAACTACAGGCAAAAACATGCAAAAGTAACAGGAAAAATCCCAACTAATATTATAAATGCGAAAGTAACTCTGTCTGTCTGTCTGTCTGTCTGTTACGCTTTCCCGCTTAAACCTCGCAACCGATTTTGATGAAATTTGGCATAGAGATAGTTTGAGTCCCGGGAAAGAACATAGGATAGTTTTTATCCCGGTTTTTGAAACAGGGACGCGCGCGATAAAGTTTTTCTGTGACAGACAAAATTCCACGCGGGCGGAAAGCTAGTTATTTATAAAAGTCAATCGATTCTGTCAATGCATTGACCTTTTGAAGATACAAACTAATACACATATTTTGATGACCTCAAGCAAAACGTAGGTCACCGATTGAGATCCATATTAAAATCGCCAAAACATAATGCCATCGGTCAATACCTACGTCGGAGTTATACAAGGGTATTGTTTTATTCAAATCTTAGAATTTTTCCTTAAATCCGCTCGATGATCTGGTTTTCTAATGACATAAATAATTACTTATTTGTTTGTGACAACGTTAGTGTTGTGATTTCTACCGTGCAGGATGGACGCGTCTCGATTATTGTAAGTTTATTTATTGTTTATTTACATAAAATATATCCCATACAAATGCTTGTTACACGAGGCGACATCAGTCCAACGGTGGACGGAGATTGAACTAAAGGCTCGTTCCCACGGCCCCAATCCAATTTTTGCAGGTTCCAGTAAATTAATGCAGGGTCCCGCAAAACTGGACTGTTGTGTGACTACACATAGGCTGAGTCACAGATTAGAGAGTGGCTGAGTTGCACCATCTTACTTTAACTTTGACAGACGTCAAAAATCTGTCAAACTCCATACAAAAAACACCGGTTATCGTATAGTTACGGTCAAAGTTAGGTGGTGCAACTCAGCCTTAATAAGTGTGTTTGTAATTCGAATGTATCGGATTTTCGCGGGACACTACAAGATTTTCGTGTGAAACTGTGAACGTTTATTGATCCTGCAATAAACGGGGTGTCTCTGCAGGAACAAGCCCTACTTATTTCTTTACAAACTGTAGACTGACAGATAAGTATTGTGCGGTCGACTGTACTTTAGATACACTTTTGAACTTGAACTCGTAAACTGAAGTTAGATAAACAACTCTAAGGTCTAGTGTGTGTGTACATTTGATTCTCAGATGGGCATCCTTTACTTACGGCTTCCATTATCTTTACTTAGTTAGGTACTTCATTAAAGATTCGGTCTAGTAAGAAGTCTAATAAGAAAAGTAAATTATAAATAACTCGAAAAAACGAACTGCCTAAGGCGGGAATCGAACCCACGACCTTTCCCTTGCCAGGCGACTACTCTTCGATCTGAGCTACTTAAGTAAGACAGAGGGTCATAATCGTAATTTTTAACCGACTTCAAATAATAATAATTAATTAGGTAGGTAGTGAATTCTTTACAATAAATTATTTGTGTGCGTATGGATTGAGTGAGCACCCCCTGGAAAGCATTAAATTTATACTTTTCTAGTTGTAAAAGGCCTAAAACGTATTGTAAAAACAATCTTTCCATTTGTAAAAAGATTAAACCAAAGATAAATAGATAAAAGTCGGCTCACTCAGTCCTGACAGAGGATCAGCCGGATCACCGTATTATAATAAGTTTATAAATATCATTAATGCTCGTTATATTGTAAAAACTCTGCAAAGTTAGTGTCTTTAATTTTAGATGTGTGGAAACATTTGTAACTCGTAAAAGACGACTCAGTTAGGTCAAGGTACTATCTACT